GACTACATAAACCTTTAAGATCATACCCGGACTGATGGTTTCAAAGATATGTATACATGTATGTAACTAGTTATGTGTACATATGTATCATATATATTGTATATAACCACACACATATAACACTATCATATATAATAGAAAAATGTATGTAGTTTTTATGTTATACTCATAAATTCCATACAAACAGCCTGAAATTTTATTTTATTTTTTAAAGATTTATTTATTTATGCATGCAAGAGCTGGGGTACAGGCCAGAGATGTCGGGGGTGAGAGGATTCACCAGAGACAGAGCAGGGAACAGAACAGGCAGACTGACTGAAATACACTGCTAAGGGGAGCAGTGGGCAAGTCAGCAGAGGTCAGCTGCATCAGGTGCGGTGCTTAACCCCTTGTGCCACCAGGGAGGCCCAGCCTGAAATTTTAAAAAGCAAAACGAAGAGCTAAATAATATAAATATAAAGAATACCTTCACCTCTAGTCATGCTTATTGCCCTATTGGGCAAATGAATTGAGTTTTCACTTAACATGAACTAGTCTTACCACTGTCAAATCCTTCTCTTGTCAGAGAATTATTTTGAAATAGTTTGATATAACAGAACTATCGAAGAATAAAAATATGAGAACATTTATAACCGGTCATATTATATAGCCCTTAAAATGTGACTCTTGTGATGGAGGAACTACATTTTTTATTTCACTTTATTTTAATTAATTTAAGGTTTTTTTATAATGTGATTTAATAGTTTGTTTTTTTAAGATTTATTTATTTATTTATACGAGCACTGGGTACAGTCAGAAATGCGGAAGGGTGAGAGGATTCACCAGAGTCAGAGAGGGGAGCAGAACAGGCAGACTGATGATGCACTGCTGAGGGGAGCAGCGGGCAGCAGGAGAGGTCTGTGCGCCATGTGGGACCCTCGCCCTGCGGCCGGGAATCGAACTGGCACTGCAGAGGCTTCGGGCAGCTTTGCAACCCAGCGCTCATCCTCTGCGCCACCGGGGAGGCCCTAATTTAAGTTTTAATTTAAGTAATAGTCACATATGTCTAGTGGCTATTATATAGGGAAGCACAACTCTGTACATTGGCCAAAAAGATATGTGAGTAGTCCACAAGAAAGGGGGGCTTTAGGTTAAGTGATTTTGAGTAAGTAAGCCAGCCATGGATACCAAATACAACTTCCCACCAACAGTTTTGATTGTACCCAGACCTGGGGCTGTATAGGAAAGGAAGGGTTACAGCTAGAAATAAATCAAATCCTTTATTGCTGATTTCACATTTTCCTGCTCCATAGGTCAACCAAGAGAGCACCCACTGGCTATTTACATTTCCACAAGAAAACAACAGACAACTTAGATCTAGCTATAAATATAGTGGAGGACATTTGAAACGACTAGAAAGAAGATAATCAATCTGCCTTGCTGGTACAAATTTATTGAGTAAATTCTCACAAGGTGCACTGTCTCTGCAGGATTTTATACGTTCTTCTTACTGTCTGGCTGAATTACACTCCTGTGCATGAAGTAAATCCCCCTTTTAAATACACAACAAAAATGAATGATTTAGAATTTCGAATAAAGCATGACACCATACAGAGTATTGTGAACAAATACAATGAGGTTTTTACAAAATTGTATTCTTATAACTCATGTATATTTTGTGCAGATATCCCATGGTAATATTGGGGGGGGGGCGGAGAGAATAGGGAATCCCATAAAAATGTATTTATTAGGATTCATTAAAAATGTCATTTAAAATTAAAATTATTTATTAAGATAATTGTAGATCACATGCAGTTGTGGAAGTAATACAGAGATATTTCATGTAATATTTTCCAAGTTTTCCTCAATGCAAAATTTGCATTTTGCAAAACTGTGGTATAATATCATATCCAGATGTTGACATTGACAGATTGTCAGTTTTACTGACACTTATTTGTGTATGTTTGCATATGTGTGTGTGTGATATAGAATCCCTTCAAAATTACATCAAATAACTCATAGATTCAGGGATTTCCTGATTTTAAATTTTGTTGATGTAAAAAAAATGCCTGCCATTTGTGGAAACTGCATGTAAATCTGGTTGTAATATTGTTTATTGAGGGTTAAGGTGGAAAAGAGAAATGAGGAGGAGAAGGTGGAGGAGGAGGAGGATTTTTTTTTTTTTTTTGGAGGAAGAGACAAAATAGGACAACTTTCAAAAGCTCCTTCCTAGAGAGGGCCAGAGGAAAGTTGCTAATATATACTTAACAAGGTTGAAAAAGACAGTTTATCCAATAGTTAACTTATATCATGGAATTGGAGACACAGGAAAAGTTATATATTTTCTCAACTATTAAACAGAAACCAAATGTTCTGGTTCCCACCCCCACCTCCCCATGCTTGGCCCAGAAACTATAATTGCAGGAATCCCTGTCACACTTTAGTTTCAAAACATTAGTATCTCTTTACGAACTTGCTCTTTATTATGAAAAATCAGCTACTTACAGACTCATAGATAAGGAAAGCATACTGAAATGAATATATGAAGTTATATGTAAAGATATATATATAGATATATATATATTTCTTTTAGAACCTGTAATTGAAAAGATTTTTTTTCATTACTTGTTTTACAGGTGTTTCCTCCTCTTTGGTTATAGAAGGGAGTTTAAATGGTCTCATTTATTTTGCCAGTCTCACAAGCCCTTTGGAAATAGATTTGTACATTTTATTTTAAGTAATACCAAAGGGGTTCTGGGATTCATTGGGGTCAAACAGGAAATAAAGTGCATGAAGAGATATAAATGAATTGGGGAGTGAAAGATTCTTGAACCATCTGATGAACAATAGCTTTCATAATCATCACCTTGGGGCTTTCTTTCACATTGATTTCAGCCATCAACCACTCTCATTTATCAGCTTCTGATTTGATGGTGGATGCATTTTATAACTCAGTAGACATCATTATCTTATAGCCTAATAAAATTTGATACAAAAGCCTATACAATCAAACTAGCTCTGTCTAAAACACTGGTGTTATATGGCTCACCAACAAAGTACTGTACTCTTAAATAAAGGATAGAAAGAAATGACAATTTCTACTTAAGCAAAAGCATAAACAAAGGGGGAAATGACGAAAATTGAATTGAAATGTAGACTAAAGGGAAAGGGCAAAAAATCAGGACATATTGAAAATAATCAGTGAAAATTAATAGTAACAATAATTAATAATTTGGAACAATTACCTAGATATATTAAATCAGCAGAGAAATGCAATTATGAAAAAAATAGAAGAGAAAAATTAGGTAAATCAGTATACCAAGGTGATAGTAAATTTGATAGGAATATTGAAAACTCAATAAGAAATTCCCAGAGAAAAGATCAGGGAAAGTGTTAACAAGAGAATTAATGTCCAATTGTTAAGTGTCATTAACCAAGCACTATGTATAACTTTTGAGGGAACATATTTTGAAATTCAGGTTGTAAGTTTTTCAATAAATGATGCTGGGGCAGTTTGGATCGATATTCCATTTTTCTGTCAAGATAAATTTCACGGGCCTCCCCTGGCGGCGCAGTGGTTGAGCCGGTTTGAGCACTGGGCTGCAAAGCTGCCTGCAGCCTCTGCAGTGCTGGTTCGATCCCCGGTCGCCGGGCGAGGGTCCCACATGGCGCGCAGATCTCTCCTGCTGCCCTCTGCTCCCCTCAGCAGTGTATCATCAGTCTGCCTGTTCTGCTCTCCCCTCTGGCTCTGGTGAATTCTCTCACCCTCCCGCGCTTCTGACTGTACCCAGTGCTTGTATAAATAAATAAATAAATAAATAAATAAATAAATAAATAAATCTTTTTAAAAAAGGATAAATTTCACATGGATAAATGATGTACATGTTGTAAACAAAACAGTTATAGCACCGTAAGAAACCATGGAAGAACTTTTGTATAATCTTGGCATAAGGAAGGCTTTTTTATGAACAGATACGAATACTTTATGAACTCTGAAGCCATAAAATTAAATGGCATATTTGATTAACACAATGGTTAGAAACATAAATAAAACAAGATATGGAGGGAGACAGGCACACCCATACGCATATGTTTACAAATCCTATAACAGGCAAAGGTAACTCCCTTATTACTATATAAATTGATAAGCAATAGATTGACATTCCAAGAAAGCAGCTATGAACAGACTGTAGATAGAAAATGGAAATATGTATGACTTTTAAATGAATGAAAATATGTTCATTTCCATCATAATAAGAGAAAATGAAAATTAAACTACATGCACACATTTCTTACCTAAGAAACAAAAATCAAAACACTAGTAATACATTATTAATTTTCTGTTGTACAACAAATTACCACAAACAGCAACTTAAAACAATACAACTTTACTAATTTAGCGTTTCCTCAGGTAAAAAATCTGGGCACTGTGTAGCTGAATCCTCTGCTTCAAAATTCAAAAGTTCAAACTTTATTGGGGGTGGGAGTGGGGGAGGATTAAATTATGTGAGATCTTGAAATACAACATTTAGTCAAAAATGCAAGCACATGACTTTTGCAAATGAGGAACTAAGGAACTTATGAGCCAGCAGTCTGCCTGGTGTCCTTAAGGAATTTATTCACCTGTAAATTGTGAACAGTTTAGAATCTGGATTTTAACTGCAGACCCAGAGGATTGCTATTACATTTTTAGACTAAAGGTCACGGAGCAGAACTGCTAAGGGATCGTGACTTGCTTCCATTGAATTCCTTCGTCACTGTTACATCTTGTTGCTTTAATAGGCCTGGGGCACATCAGTTCCACTCTTATTTAAGCTTAGTTTTAAGAGAGGTCAAGGACAATGCCCTCCCCACCAATGCCATCCTGAAATCCTGCAAGGGAACAGTAAAGTGAGACGCCTCAGGGAACTGAGCGGCCATAAAGTGTTCTGCAGCTATTGGGATGGTAACAGTGATCCCGCTCTTTTTCAGCTTGCAGCTGCCAATCGTTTCGCCCAATCACGATCCCTGGGCGGCGCCAATGAGGGCCGGGCTTGAGGCAAACGCGCGGCGGCCAGTGGTTGCCTAGCGACGGCGTCCGCCCCAGTCCTGGGTAGGTCGTCCGCTACCGTTAACCGGCTACTTAATGGGAGGCTATGGGGACCGAGAGGGTCTCGCTAGTCCCCCGGGACATGGAGATTCCAAGAAAGGACTTACAGCTGCGGGTGACCCCGACGGAGCTAAAATTCATGGACACGCTTGTTGGGAGGGTGTACCGCCTCCCAATCACAGTACACAACCTGGGCCGCAGCAACCAGAAGATCAGGTTTCAGGAGCCGATCAAGCCACAGGTAACACCCAGGGATACTTGGAGCAGGACCTCAGAAACCAGGCCTCTGAGAATGCTTCCCCACCGGGCGCCTACTTTGTCCCCCAGAGCAGACACCCGGTTCTTGGGGGTTAGGGGGTGGAGGCAGGACTGAGCTTCCTGGGGAGCTGTGACTTAGGTTTCTCTGTGCAGATGTGTGCTCACCTTTTTGTTTGGTTTCATTTGTTTTTTGCTTGGTGTTTGGGGACTGGATGGGGATAAGGCGGTCTAGAACCTTCAGTTTTCTTCATTCTGAATTTGGAAAAGAGGGAAGGCGCTTCCATGACTGTCTCCCCTTAACAGCCATATATACCTTTCATAATAGTGTACAGTTATGAAAACAAAATTCTGTTAAGTACTCTTTGAATCCTAAAGTGCCGGCTTACTCTAGCTACATAGGATAGTGGGATAGTTTATTATTTCATATTTCAACAAACTTTTCTTGAGTATCTACTATGTAATCGACAGTAGGTATGAGGAATGTGAGGACACAACCCTCCCCTCACAACTCAGAAACTAATGGGAGAGTCAATGCAGGTCTGAAAACCTGCAAAATTAATGTCCTGAGACACTTTCCCCATCTTCTGATTTAAAAGTTGATAGAATTTCACCTCAGAGTTATTTTTAAATCATGTGTATAAATGGATGAATATTAGTTTGTTATGACCACGTGTTCTCAGAGATTTTTGACATAGAAATGGTGATAAGAATGTCTGAAATATGTGATAAATAACGAATTTTTTCATGGGATAGTCCTAATGATAAATAATATTGGCTGTAGCTGGACTTACATGTACAGAAATGGGAAGATGTTATGATGTCTTTTGTTAAATGTACATATATTTGTTTGTATGCACATAGTAAAGTGTACGGTAGTGAGTAGGAGGGCCATGAGATGAAGGACTGTCATGTTATGCTTTTTACACTTTAAAAAAAATGATGTACTATTTTATGTGCACTGTAGTGTGTATCTTTATATCTTTAAAGTAAAGCGTGATAAATGTTTTATATATGTATGTGCCCTTGGGTCAATTCATTGAGTATTTCCAGCACTCCAGAAGTTTCCCTACAGTATTGAGGGAAACAGTTTTCCAGCACTCCAGAAGTTTCCCTACAGTACCTGGAGTTATCATCCTGTAGAGATGACCACTATACTGATTTTTAACACCACAGATTAGTTTTGTCTGCATTTGAGTTTCATATAAATAGAATCATGCTTTATTCATGTTTGTATTTGCATATTTTAATGAAAGCAAAGTATTTATTTTGCAATAAAATAGTACATCACAGGAGACTATTAACTATTTTTTTAAATCAAAAAGTACCTGATTGCTCTAAGAACAGTAAAAATGAAAGGAACATTTTACTGTTTCACTCCCTTAATACACATTTATTAAACAGTTGAATGTGTATATGAAAATATTTTCCTTTAAAAATCAAGCAGGAATTTTTGGATATGAGCAAACATTATTTTATGGATGTTCATGAAGTACTTCATAATTGGTTTTTATGCAGTCAGAAGAAAAATTGTCATTCTTTTTTTTTTTAATTAATTTATTTATTTATACAAGCACTGGGTACAGCCAGAAGCGAGGGAGAGTGAGAGAATTCACCAGAGTCAGAGCGGGCAGCAGAGCAGGCAGAAGTACCAAAATACACTGCTGAGGGGAGCAGTGGGCGGCAGGAGAGGTCTGCGCACCGTGTGGGACCCTCCTCAGGTGGCCGAGGAGCAGCCGGGGATCGAACTGGCGCTGCAGAGGCTGCGGGCAGCTTCGCAACCCAGCGCTCAACCGCTGTGCCACTGGGGAGGCCCCTATGTCATTCTTTTGGTTTGTATCTAGAATTGTAAAAGAAAACTGGACCACAGCTCTTGTATTGACAAACACAGACTGACAAGTTAGGGGCCAAAGCTATTTGCCCAATGTCCATGGGAACTTCTCTTTGTTCCAGGACCATGATACTCACTCTTGAACCCTTATAGGCATAAAGGTAATTAAGGAGGAAATAGATGAACAAAAAAAATGCATTCATGGTCTCTTGAAATAATATACGCTCCTGGGCCTCCCTGGTGGTGCAAGGGGTTAAGACTCAACCTATGAAGTTGTCCACAGCCTCTGCAGCACGAGTTATATCCCCAGCCAGGGAGCTACCCATATGGTGCAGCAGACCTCCCCGGGCTCGCCCGCTGCTCCCTTCAGCAGTGTATGTCAGTCAGTCTGTTCTGTTCCCCACTCTATCTCTGGTGAATCCTCTCGATCTCCACACCTCTGGCCTGTACCCCAGTTCTTGAATGCATAAATAAATAAATCTTTAAAGAAAAGAAGAAATAATATACACTCCTAACAATAATTGTTCACGCAATAGTTTGTTCTTAAGAGATTAGATGTGTAATTTGATATTTTTTCTTCCACTGAAGTTCAGACTGATTTTGACCAATCTGGATAAAGCACTTGCTTCTGGCCTTCAGATGACAGCTATGGTGGAATATCATCCTGATAAAAATGAAGACACTTTTGACCAACTGATTATTTCAATAGGAAATAAAACAATAGAGATCCCTTTAATGGGGTATGTATTCATATTTCCTGCAATCATTTTAAGCAATCTTCAAACAAAATTAAGGGTCAAAGTAGTATTCTGTATTTTCTCTAATATGGCTTGTTTTATCGAGAGTTTCCTTGTAGCTGAACTGAAAGGACATATTTTGAGCAAATTGTGGTCATAAGACAAATAGAAGATACATTTTCTGCTATTTTTTTATTAAAATAACTTAAAAACATAAAAACATTCAAGAATCACATTTTTTCTTTTTACCTCACAGGCTATTTTCCAGCATATTTTTTGGTATCTTTTGACAGCAAGGCTTGTTAAATTTTTTTTTTTTCTGTCTCTACAGTCTCATTTTCTATTCTCAGTTCAATAAACACCAGATGGGCCATTTTCCCGAGCTTTCCAGTGAAGCAGCTCTTGAATGTTGCCAGTCTATTGGTAACTCCTCTGTCTTTATCTTACTCCATTTCTTAGCGGCATAATGAACCATCATTGCCTTCTTGGCTCACTTTATTCTCTTGACTTAACCTGCTACTACACTTCTTCAGTGGCTTTTCCTCGTGTTAATTTTATTTTTTACAGAAATGTAATTGACATAACATTATGTAAGTTTAAGGTGTACAATATGTTCATGTGATGCAGCTATAATATTACAATATAATTACCATCAAAATGTTAGCTCACACTTCTATCATATTGTATAATTATCATTTTTTTTATTGTTGTGGGATAGTTAAGATCTAGTCTATTAGCAGCTTGAATTTTATATTAGGGTATTATTGGCTGTAATCACTTTGCTGTGTATTAGCTCTCTAGAACTTAGTTATGTACTAGTTCGCAGTTTGTGCTTTTAAAATCTCGCCAATTCCTGCAACCCCCTGCCTCTGGTAAATACCATTCTACTCTGTTTATATGATGAATGTATTTTTAAATGGATTGTTGTGAACCTGTATTCACACTTTAATCTTAAATTATTGTCATATTCACATCATTGAATTTTAAATAATGCAGATGTTTGGCTCTAAAATAATCAAAATGGTGCTTTTTTTTCAGAATGGAAAATGTGGACAGATATAATAAATATAACAGAACTAAACAACTGGTTTGAAGATTAACTTTTATACAAATTATTTATTTGATCAGGACAATGTAATTTTCCTTTATACTGAAAAAAAGCATATTTCTGTTCATTGTAAAATAACCTTTTAAAGCTAGTGTTCATTAAGGAAGGACTAGAGTCAAAATAAGGGGGGAGGGTGCAAGTGTATGGGGAATATAACCAAAATGAAAATTCATACATTGTGCAAAGATGAAAAAAGATGTAAGAATTATATAAAATAAAATATTTAAATAAAAAATAAAGCTAGTGTTCATTTTTAAAGTGTTTTTAATTCACACATATACCTATATGATCCTTCTTTTCCTCAGAAAAAAGTGATAATTGGATTGTTTGCTTTTTACTCTTGAGTTTTATAATTTCTTTGTATAATCTGATTATGTCTTTTGATATACCTTGTATAATCTGAATTGTCTTTTGGTAGATCTTTGGTTTGCACATATTTTTGCACATTTTTTGGAGGGTTGTTGTTCAAGATCAGTTCAGGAGAGATATTGGTCTGTAGTCTATATATGTATGTATGCATGTATGAATGTATGTATGTATGTATGTATGTATGTAATGTCTTTTTTCTATTTTTTCTATCACAGTATTGCTCTCATAAAATGAGTTGGGGAATGTTCTCTCCTGTTCTTTGGAAGAACTTGTTTAAAATTGATGTTATTTCTTTGAACGGTAGGATTCCCTACTGAAATTATTTGAGCCTGAAGATTTCTATTTTAGGATGTTTTAAAGTATGACTTCAACTTTTTCAAGACTGTGAAGCTATCCAGGCTGCTTCTTTCATGTTGGTTAGTTACTGTAGTTTGTGGTTTTTAAAGAACTCTTCCTATCTAAATTGTCAATTTATGAGTGTGAGCTTATTCAGACATTTACCTTATTATTTCTGAATAACTGTGCCCCTTATTACATTCCTGATGTTGGTGGTATGTGTCTCTTTCCCTTTTATTTTTGTATTGCTAGTGGTTCATCAACTTTATTGATTTTTCCCCCCCAAGGAATCAGCTTTTTGTCACTGAATTTATGGTCATTTTGTTTTAAATTCCTTTGATTGCTGTTCTTTATTACTTCCTGCTTGGTTTGGGATTATACTACTCTCTTTTACAAATTACTTGAGGCTGGAAATTAGAATTGAGATATTTCCTCATTTCTTATTTAAGCACATAGTACTATCAGTGACCCTCTTAGCACCGCTTTAGCTGTGTCCCAAAATTTTTTATATATTGCATTTTGTTTTTATTTGGTTATATGTACTTTAAAATTATTTTTTCTTTGAGACTTCCTTTTAACATATGGATTATTTAGAAGTGTTGATAAATTTTCATATGTTTGCAGTCCGGTATACTACATACTTAGGTGCATGAAGTCCTACTTCTTTGTTAAAATTGTGTCTCAGGTTGTTTTCATGTTATTTGTTTCACAATTTATTTGACTGACAAATATGCCACTGGTAGATTTCTAAGAAAATGGAAATATCTTTTAAGAAGTTAAGATAAAGTGTCTATTTGTCCCCTATAGATTTCACTGAGGTTATAATTGCTGAGATTAATTATGTGGTCCTCTCTTCTCCCCTAGGTTGATTCCATCCTGTCAATTGCATATTGAGCCAGAAGTTGATTTTGGAACATTGGTTGCCAATAGTAAAGTATATAGTAAAGAGGTTCATGTCATTAACTATGGAAAAGCTCCAGGTAAGTAGTTTGTCATATAAATTAACTTACACTTTTAGAAAGTTAATAATTTGAAATGTATACCTAGTATATTAATAGACTCTCTGATTCATAAAAGAAAAAAAATGGTTGTCATTTGAAAAACTCAAAGCCAAGGGCCCTTAAATAGAATGACTGTAAAAGACTGGTAGGCAATAATTCATGAAAGATGTAATTGTTTCCTTATGATTCTGATTAACACATTCTGACTCTCAGATGGCTGGTGATCTCCCTGAGGATGGGAGGAAAGTTGGTGTCATGGACATGATATAGTTCTTAGAGATATCCAGAGATAGAATTAGGGCACAGTAGCTTACTAGCTTTGTGATCTGGGGGAAGTGTGTTTAAGGAAATTTGAGATTCCTCATTAATAAGCTGTGGTTAATAAAATATACTGTGGCTAGTTATGAATATATTTGAGGTTGTAATATGTTACTTGACCTGTCACAGGCCCTCAATATTTTTTTTTTCTTTTTCTCAATCATATTCAACTTTGAAGTACCTAGAAGGTTCTTACTTTTTTTTTTTTGGCCTCTTCTTTTAGGCAATATCATTTTATTTATTTATTTATTTATTTATTTATTTATTTATTTATTTATTTATTTATTTATACAAGCACTGGGTACAGTCAGAAGCGCGGGAGGGTGAGAGAATTCACCAGAGCCAGAGCAGGGAGCAGAGTAGGCAGAGGGACGGAAGTACACTGCTGAGGAGAGCAGCAGGTGGCAGGAGAGGTCTGCGCGCCATGTGGGACCCTCCTCCCGTGGCTGGGAGCAGCTGGGGATCGAACAGGCGCTGCAGAGGCTGCGGACAGCTTCGCAACCCAGCACTCAACCACTGCGCCACTAGGGAGGCCCTCTTACTAACATTTTTTAAAAAGAAAACTCCGAAAAGAAGTTTAATAATAACGTGTATAGCTCCCATATACATGGGAGAGATAGCATGATAAAACTCCCTAACTCTTTGTGGAAAGAATAAAGGCTTCTTTCTTCTCCTGGGTGAATTATTTCTCTGGGAATTCTTACTGGGACCTAAGAATTTCCACAAAACATTGTGTGTTTTCACAGATACTCTTTACTGATGGTATACAGTAAGCATAAAATCACTTGTCCTTTCATTTTCCTGATGAGATGGTTACCATCTGGGGATGGTAAGGCCATGCTGCCATGAGAACTAGCCCTGGACAGAGAGGGCATTTCTCTCTGAGACTGTTGGATACATAAAGGAGGTCTTACATCCTTAGTGAGGATATTTTCTGGGGCTGCCTAAATGAGTAGTTTGTTCCTTTACTGATTTTTTTCCTGGCATATAAACAAGCAAAACTGGTAATTGTTCCTCATTGCATGTTGTTCATTTCACTTCCCATGCTTTGGTTTTTAAATGATTGAATTTCTGATGCCAGTGGAATTGTAATATTGGACTCATTTGTGATCTGACTCCAGTATTAAAGATGGACTCTCTTATGGCAAGTGATTATGGACTCTATGGACCTTTAGAGTCTCTGGTTGTATATTAGTATAGTGGTATGTACATAATTGAGGGAGTTGTGTTATTTTGCTTTCTAAAAATCTCTCTTAACTTGTCTATTCCAAACCCTTCAAAGTTTTGGTCTTAGCCTTTGTTCTAAAAATATCACTAATTTGTACTGTTTTGTTATCCATAAAAGATTTCTAGAAGTTAAAAAATGGTTTTAATTTTAATTGAATATTTAATATTTTACTTAATAAAATAAGTTAAATTAAGCTTTAGACTTAGTTCCATATATTTTAGGAAAAACAATCCACTTTGCCTCTTACCTGTATTAATATTATATTACTATTTTGTGTGTACATAGTTTTCACAGTGAATACTACCCTTGGTTAATTAAAATCGAGTATTGTGAAATGTTAATTACTATTACCTTACAAACAAATTGCTATTAATGAAACATATTTTTCTTAATGTTAACCTTGTCTCTCATTCTTGGAATTGAATAATACTATTTTTACCACTATTACCGAAATTGATATTCTATTTTATATTCACAGTAGCAAGTACCTGTGAAGTGTCATAAAATTCTTATTAAGTACAAGTAAAATATATAAATATTCATGAAAATAGCAATATATTTTCATGAGGAGAACACTTACGCAGAAAACAGATTCAGTAACCAAAGATAATTTTAATAAAATCTTTTTAAAAGATTTTATGTGACAAATATTTTATAGTGTTAGAGGCAAAGATTAATGTTTACTAATTATATATATATATATATATATATATATATATATGCTAAGAGGTAATTATATTACCACACTCAGCAGATTCATAATTTGTACATCTTTTTTTTCTGCCTGGGGTAGTGTGATTGGGCTATTATATGGTAGACCCCAAAGTTTATCTATATAACAACTTCATGATGCTTTATTTTCATAGCCCATGGAGTAACCATCCATGGATTTAGCAGAATATTGTTGAATGAATGTTTCCTGAGTTTACTCCTCCCTTTGCGAAGTAGCACTTATCTTTTCATTTGAAAAGACATAGTTCAATCTTGAAGATAACTGCAGTATTAGTACTTTGTGAGCTGGGGAACTTGAACTGTTTGTGTTTTTTTTATGATTTTTATGGTATATTCATGCCCGATTGTTTCTCAGTTTTTATCTTTGAAGATTGAGAAAAGAGTATTTTAGCATGCCTTGAATGGCAATTATTTTCCACTTCCCCTCGGTATCCTTGAATATGTCAATCGACTTGTTCTACTACTGTGTTATGATATAGAACAGTTTTTAAAGTTCCTGGTGTGATTTTTTTTTTTCAGATTTATTTATTTATTTATACAAGCACTGGGTAAGTCAGAAGCGTGGGAGGGTAAGAGAATTCACCAGCGACAGAACAGGGAACAGAACAGGCAGACCAACGAAATACACTGCTGAGGGGAGCAGCGGGTGCAGCAGGAGAGGTCTGCGCGCCATGTGGGACCCTTGCTGGCGCTGAAGAGGTTGTGGGCAGCTTCACAGCCCAGCGCTCAACCACTGCGCCACCAGGGGAGGCCCCTTAGTGTGATCTTTACACACCATTTCTGGGTTTGAACAGCTACCATAGAACTTATCCTCTTTTAAATTTATTTGCACTTTTTGGCCACAAGTATATACCTTTCTCTTGTTCGTTTTTTTTTTTCTTTTTTTTTAAGATTGATTTATTTATGCATACAAGAGCTGGGGCACAGGCCAGAGATGCAGGGGGGAGAGAGGATTCACCAGAGACAGAGTTTGGAGCAGAACAGGCAGACTGACTGAAATACACTGCTGAGGGGAGCACAGGCGAGACAGGAGAGGTCCACCTCTCTGGCTGTCTGGGAATTGAACACATGCAGCAGAGGCTGCGGATTGTAGTGCGGTGTTCAACCCCTTGCACCACCTTGCACCACCAGGGAGGCCCTTTTCTCTTGTTCTTAATGCCTGCTTTACCTTCCTTGGATTGTCAACATCATCTGTCTACAGTTTAGGAAAAGCTTGGGATCATCTGTAAACCAGGATATTTGCTAAATTGGACCAAACCCAGGAGTGGTCATCAGAATCCTTCTCAACCACCCAAAGAAGGATGTACTCCTTATTCTCAATATGTGTTTTTGTTTGTTTGTTTTCAGTTTTATTTTCTTGGAAATCAGTGTCATAGACTCTCCGTGTATAATGCAATGTTGAGCATATAGCAGGCATTCAATAAGCCTTTGTTTAATTGATTTGTTTTGGTAATCTCTCAGAGTTTTAGTAAAGTACCACTAAGCTTTCAATGAAAGACGTTTGAATTCAGAAGTCATCTGCTTAATCCTATATGAGCATTCTGAATAGTCTCCACAATTTAATCATTTGGAGACTTGTGGAGACTGGTACATAATTGGCATGCTAAGAGCCAAGGAGTCTTAAAAAAAAAACAAACATGTATAAGAAGTAACAATGGCTTTGGGTATATGACTCTTTATTTATTTTTTTAAAATATAGTCTTTTTTTTAAGATTTATTTATTTATTTATACAAGCACTGGGTACAGTCAGAAGCATGGGAGGGTAAGAAAATTCACCAGAGCCAGAGCGGGGAGCAGAGCAGGCAGAAGGACCGAAGCACAATGCTGAGGGGAGCAGCGGGCGGCAGGAGAGGTCTGCGCGCCATGTGGGACCCTCCTCCTGTGGCTGGGGAGCAGCCGGGAATCAAACCATCACTGCAGAGGCTGCGGGCAGCTTCACAACCCAGCACTCAACTGCTGCACCACTGGGGAGGCCCTATGACTCTTTATTTCAAGTAGCACCCTATAAAACTACACTCTGTTTGCCTTCACTTGATCTTGCAAATTCTTTTACATAAAAGTCTACTTAATCATTTCCAAAAGTCTTTCAAAGGCAAGATAACAATGCATATGTCACTACCCAAATGCCTAACTTGATTCTCTAGAGAAGGTAGAGCAACTCAGATTCAAAAAATATACCAGTTTGTGCACAGGCCTCTTCATCTCAGTCCACCTAGGTACCTTCACATCCCATGTACTCTCCAAAGTCTCATCATTGGACAAGTCTGTGTTTGTTTTACGTGGTGTATTAGCAATGTTTGACACAGTGGACCACCACTGTCTTCTTAGGAAAAAAAAAAAAGAACAGCTGGCATCTATGACCCCTCACTCTCCTGTACAAAACAGTGGTTAATAACTCAGGTCCTGGAGTGATGTTTTCCAGGCCCCAGAACTTGGTTACTCTATTTACTGGCTGAGAGGCCCCAAGTAAGGAATTGACTCTTCCCCAACGTACATTGCCTCCCTTACACGTACACATTAAGAGGAACATAGTGCCTTACTCCGATGATTGTGATGATTAATACTCACCACACTGACGTATATAAAGTGTTCAATGAATATTCACTATTGATGTTAAAACTATTCTTTTTTCTCTTTCCTCTTCAGTTCTCTTTTGTGGACAGCTGCCCTTTTAAGAGTGCATTAACTGAGTATTCTTTAGGGTTTACCATGGACCCGCATGTGTCCTCAATCAGCAAGCCCTTCCTAGCAGTCACTTCCGTTCCTCTTACGTCACTGACTACTCACAGGTCTATGTAAGGCTCCTTTTTCCTTCAGGTTTCTTCAACTTAACTTGTCTAAAACTAAACTCCTCAGCTTCTTCCCATAACTTTTCCTTTTCATTAAATTTCATCACCATGTATTTGGGCAAGTCAGAAACTTGGCAAGATCCTTGACACCACCCTCAGTCAATTATTAAATCCTGTCTGTTCACTTTCTAATTATGTCAGTAATCCTGCTTTTCTCTGTCTCATTGGCACGTTTCTACAGCAGGCCATCATCCTCTCTTGCCTGGTAATTACACCAACCTAAATTATTTCTCTGAAGTCTCCCCTTATCTCCTTCTAGTTCATTCTCCACACATTAGCCAGTGTCATATCTAAAAGGAAATGAAATTTTGATGACAGAAATTCCATTTTTAACAACCTTCCTTCAATGACACCCTTCTATTAGGAGAATGTCCTCGCTCCCATTAGCAATTAAAAAATAAAAGTCAAGTATTTCACTGTTATTAATGATATTAAAGTAACATAGGACACAGTAATGTTTATGTACCTACTATTTTAATGTATTTGGAAGTTCGAGCAATTTTTTTTGGCTTTGAGTTATTTCTGAATAAGCTTTTGAAACAGTCCCTTAAATTCTTTTGTCAAATTATGTTTTAAGTGTTTATAATATAGGAACTATTTCACTGACTCAGTCTTAACTGAACTCATAGTTTTCTTTCTCCAGAGAATTGAGTAAATAACACTTATTCGAAATGGATATAATTTTATAGATTTTTATTTCATGAGAGACAAAATAAACCTTAAATATTGTGTCATTACCACTTTTAAAATGATTAGATTAACAAAATTTGTTGCTATGAGTTTTTCTTTTCTAACAGGCCATCTCAGTACTTTAAAAAAGTTTTATTATCTTTTTATATTTTCAATATTTTAGTATGCTAATGTTTTATACACTTTAGTTAAATGAATACTTTTGAAAATATCTTTAAATGTGATTTAAAGCTGAACTGGGAAATTCAGTTCCAATTGTTTATGTTGGCAGTATATACATTTGAGTTAATATTTGTAAGGGGCAGGAACGGGCACAGTGCAGGTTCTCTGATCCCATGCAGATCGGGTAAAGGAGGAGTCAGAGTCCTCAGTAGTTTTGCAGGTTTTTTATTTGGGGTTCACCAGGCATATGGCAGGCAGGGGTGCTGGCTGGGGGGCTGGGAGGCTGGCAGGCCTCCCAGCCCCCAGCAAGTCCTCACTCTATCTGGGCTCTCTGGCGTTCGTTCTGCTGCTTCTCGGCTTCGGCTTCGGCTGCGGCGGCTGCTGCTGCTGGTGCTGGTGCTGCTGGCGTCCCCCCGTGACGCCGCCCTTAAAAGCACAGTCTTAGCTCAGCTGAATCCCATCTACCTATGCCCACACCCTATTCCAGGTGCCCACCATCAGGCATGCATTCAGGACAAGGATCCATCATCTATCCTGATGGCGGAAGGGCAGAAAAGCCTGATATTTTCTTTACCCTACAGTCCACCCCCTCAGGGTTTTCTGCCATACAGTCTATACATATATACACAATTTTCTAAGCAAACAAACAATGCAGCCATGGCCCACAAAAGCAAATACATCAAATAACAAAATACAACATAACAAAATACAACAGAACACAAATAAGTCCAGGCAGGGCACCAACCAAGTGCAAAAGACAATTATTGGTACCAGCAGATGAGCCACCAAATCTGCTGCCGAAGGCACTGCTCATGCGAGGGAGGGGAAATCACACACGGCATCTGCTATATCACACCAGGAGCCGTCAGGCTTCCTGGCCTTCTCTGGCTGTAGTCTCGGCTACAAGGCACACACAGCATCCACCCCCAGGATGCACTAGCTCTGGGATTGGCAATTTTATTCTGTTGGGGGTAATCGCCAACCCTCAGGGTTTCTGTCTGCAGTCGCTCCAACACTCGGCCTTCATGGCCACCCATGCGACTCACAGACCCCTGCTCTCAAGCCAACCCACTGCACAAGCACATGGGTTGGGGATCCAAACTTTGCATTTGGCTTGGGCTCCACCCCAAGCCACATTCCCCACCCGTCCCCCAAGGACGGCCTCCTCAGCTCCTCACCCTCACTCAAGAATGAGCAGGGCATCACCCATAGGTGATTTTACGAGACTCACAGGGCTTCAGCATACCCAGGCTGCTTAACAGCCGCTTTAGGGCTTCTCAACTTAGCATCAGTACCAGCTTTTGCCACCTTAGTTGGCTTTTCTCCTCCACCTGGCCACTGGGCATACACAGGCTGCTTTTGGCCATCTAGGCCCACTGGCCACCCCCAGATTCTCAAAAAATAAACATAACCTGCTAAGGTCCTCCGCCTTCTGGCGGGATTGTCAGTCCAAAATCATCAGTTCATCAGTCTATCAGTCCATTGGCCTCTCCCTGCTTCAGCAATGGCCTGCTGCCTCAGGGGTCATTGGCTGGTCCTTTCCGGTGTCGTTGGCTGGTCCTATCCGGTGTCGTTGGCTGGTCCTATCCGGTGTCGTTGGCTGGTCCTATCCGGTGTCGTTGGCTGGTCCTATCCGGTGTCGTTGGCTGGTCCTTTCCGGTGTCGTTGGCTGGTCCTTTCGGGCGTCTCCTTCACGCCAGGTCTCATCCTGTAGCTCGTGGACGTATCCATCTTCTATACCGCCATGGTGCCTCCAGCGTCGTCACAGGCAAAGTCTGTTCTCCTTAGTCCCTCCAGGTCTTCGGAGGGCTCCAATACCCGTCTGCATGGATCTTGCCGACATACGCCAATTGTAAGGGCCGGAAGGGGCGCAGTGCAGGTTTTCTGATCCCATGCAGATCGGGTAAAGGAGCAGTCAGAGTCCTCAGTAGTTTTGCAGGTTTTTTATTTGGGGTTCACCAGGCATATGGCAGGCAGGGGTGCTGGCTGGGGGGCTGGGAGGCTGGCAGGCCTCCCAGCCCCCAGCAAGTCCTCACTCTATCTGGGCTCTCTGGCGTTCGTTCTGCTGCTTCTCGGCTTCGGCTGCGGCGGCTGCTGCTGCTGGTGCTGGTGCTGCTGGCGTCCCCCCGTGACGCCGCCCTTAAAAGCACAGTCTTAGCTCAGCTGAATCCCATCTACCTATGCCCACACCCTATTCCAGGTGCCCACCATCAGGCATGCATTCAGGACAAGGATCCATCATCTATCCTGATGGCGGAAGGGCAGAAAAGCCTGATATTTTCTTTACCCTACAATATTATAGGATGATATTTATGTATGATATTTTAAAAACCTATAATTGGCTACTTCAACCTTGTTGGACACATTTGGAGTACCACTTAATGTTAGGCACTAGGACCAAAGAAATGAGAGTCAATCTGATTTCAAAGACCTCATACTTTAATGTAGGCACCAAGTATTATCATAAATTATGAAACGTTTCTTCTTCAGATTACAAAATTTTGTAGCCTCTTTCTCATTTGCTCCTTGATTCTAGAAACCATTTCCTTATACCTTGTCCCTGTGTGAACTGCATTCATTCATCTGTAAAGAAGTGACAGTGGTTATACATGTGAGCCTGTTGGTCATAAACCTCCAAGTGAAAATCCTAGTTCTATTGGTTAGTTATTTAATTAGTCAATGACTGCTATGTAGTAAAGCATCCCACAACTCTGTATCTATAAAGGCAATTATTTTTTAATTGTTCATTTGTATGCAGATTGGCTGGAACTTGACTGATCTAAGTGGGGGCTCAGCTGGGTTGCTCTGCTTCAAGCTGAGGCAGCTGGGGCTTTCTGTTACTTACTGCAGGTCTAGGAGTCTGCTGGGTGACTGCTCCACATATGTTCATTTTTGGGGCATAGGCCAAAGAGAGAGCAATTACTCTCAATAGAAACACTGGTAAAAATGCAAGAGATATCTGGGTTTAGATCTGGCATGTTGTGACATCTGCCCCCATGCCATTTGCCAAACCAAATCACATGATCAATTTCATACTCAAGGAATAGGAAGACATACTTTGTGATTGCCTAAATGTGGCAATGCAGAGAAGGTTGAAGAATTGGGGTTAATATAATCCACGATCATAGGTGTGTGTCTCTGGATAAGTCACTCAACCTTTCTAAGTTTTTATTTCTTTATTGATAAATCAGAGGTAATGAACCTATATCATAGAATCATATGAGGATTAAACAGAATAATGTAGGCAAAGCCCTTAAGCCTAAGTGTTTGTAAATAATAAGCAGAAAATATGTTTTACCTATTGATGAGGGTTGAGTCCTAATACCAGGCTCACATTCACTGGGTGACCGCAACCCCGGGCTTCTTGGTCCAGAGTAGACCACAGACTCAATAATACATGTCTGTCCCCTACTAAGAGTGTGAATGAGACATTGTAAAATCCAAATGCCAACTATTTTCTCTTGTTCTCCTTAGGTTGGTTTAAAATAGAATATCAGGGTCGATTACCCATTATCATTTTTCCAACTGATGGTATTGTGGAGGCTAAATCATCAGTGGTTATTAAAATGGATTTCTGTGCAGATCAGCCCAGAACTGTACATGAAGTTGCAAGGTGAGTGTATACTATGGTTCTTAAATGTAATATAGTTCTTAATACTTTCCTGTTTCACTCTTTAGATACACCTATTGTGTTTTAACATATGTAGTTTGTTCTTTCAATCAGTATTCATTCATTGAGTGTCTACTATTTGCCAAGCACTCAGCACTCAAAAATGTGAAGAACCAGAGGATATGGTACATACGGGTACCTATAACAGGACTTCTAGTTTGGATTTCTGGGGGTAAGGGAGTAGATTAGGAAAGAGCTCCACTAAAGAGGTGATAGTTGAACCAAACACTTTTTGGTGACTATGATTTAGCCAGGTAAAGACCAGTAGCAGTAGTGTGATTTGGTGTGTGTGTGTGTGTGTGTGTGTGTGTGTGTGTGTAATAGAAGTGGGGTTGGTGATAGGGTGGGTTAGATGAGTTATTTCTGGCAAAGCAAGTAGAAGTCTTGAAATCCTAGAGAGCAGTAAACAGTGTAATACACTGAGTGATCTGAGGCAATGTAGAGGCATAGAGACAGAGGTGAAGAATGATGTGAGAGACATGAGATAAACAATAGAGCAGGGTTCAGTAAAGGATCTTGTGGGACAGTATTTTCTTTGTCTTATACTGTATGTCTCAGTTCATTAGTGGTATCTGCAACCAGTATAATGGGTCAACACTAGCATTAGTGTTATGAAGCAGAACATATCAGAATGAGTCTCACATAGTAAGGATAAATATTATTTTGTAAAATTTGCTTGGTGTGTGGGCCTTACGTATTGGAAGGTAAAACATACTTCTTACTGAAGATCACAGCCAAACAAAATGTTTGAGAAACAGTTGTAAGCCTTGGTAGTAGTTTAAGTTTCATTGAGAAGGCTTAAAATTTCAGAAGTGTCTTAAGATGGAGTGTCTTCAAGAGTTCGCATTCTAGAAAGGTCATGCCAATAGCAGTGTGTAAACCAAATGTGGGAGTACAGCTGTGGAGTGGGCATTCTGACTAGAAACTCTTAGTGTGGTGGAAAATAAATGGTAAAGGCCTGAGCTAGGGAACAATTTGGGAGTATTCAAATAGGAGAGAGTATACAAATAGGATATGTGCCATGGAGATAGATTTGAGTAGATTTGATCAATGCTTCTAGAAAAGGAAGGTAAGAGGAAGGATGGATCTTTGGGAGAATATCTTGAATTCAGTTTTAGCGTGTTGACTTGAGTTACTTTGCAAAATCCTGTGGAACTGGTTAGAGCCTATAATATTCACTTATCTTGAGTCCCAGAAAAAAGTCTGGTCTAGGTATTTTGGACTGAGGGTCATCAATGCATCAGAAAGAGGGGAGTGTTGAAAATAAGTGTTTGAGCTGGAGAGTGGAATATGAAAGAGTAGGAGAGAAACATCATTAATCACGGAGTTTCTAAAATATCCAAGTCTTAGAAGAATGAGAAGGTACAGTCTGAAAGAGTTAGAAAGAAAGCCAGTTAAGTAGGTGTCAAGGAGGCAGGGGAAAAAGAGTGCTGGAAAGAGATGATATTAGCATTGCCCACTGTGACAGCCATCTAGTGTAAAATAAGGACTTGGATGATGGTTGTGGCATGGTCAGTTATTTGTGGCATGTAGTGGGACAAGATCAAAAAGGATTGCATTATGCCTGAGAGAGAGAAATGTATGGGGAGGCAGTTCCAAAAGGGAATACAAATTAGTCAGGGAAGTGATGTCTTATGGGAAGGATATTCATGTCAGCAAAGAAGTGGGGCTTTGTGATATACTTTGTAGGGAATTTGGGGTTATTAGGGTAAGGATGAATTTGTCTTGGAGGACCATGATAAATTAGGAAAGAATAAGAATTCTGGAACACTAGGGGCTTTCCTGGTAGAGCAGGGGTTAGTCTCAGCACTATGAAGCTATCGGCAGCCATTGCGGCGTGAGTTCAATTCACAGCCAGGGAGCTGATCCACTTGGCACAGCAGACCTCTCCTGTCTCACCCGCTGCTCCCCTCAGCAATGTGTTTCAGTAGATCTGCTTGTTCTGCTCCCCACTCTGTCTCTGGTGAGTCCTCTCACACCCCTGTACCTCTGGCCTACACTCCAGTTCTTGTACGCATAAATAAATAAAATCTTTTTAAAAAATAATTCTAGAACTAGAGGTGACCATGTTGATCATCACTCTAGTATTTACGAAATAACTGGTGACTTACATACCAGTAAGTTCTTTTGGGGGTTCAATTTGTGTGATTGTTTTCCAACTTTGTTGTTTCCTAGAGACAATGAATTAGTTTGCACATATACCATTCTACTGTGCAGATTCAGACAGACAGAAGGACATGGCAGTCTCTGGTTTGTATATGAAAGGAACTCTTATGTCTTTGAAATTTAATTATAATGTGATTTTATACAATCTCTGTTTATCCAAGTATTTAGGGAAAAACTAAAATATATGGAATTTGAATTAAAAATATATTTATAATTCATTATCTTATAGAGTGAGTTTGCAAGGTCGTCCAGACATACTCTTAAGTGTCAAAGCTCTGCTGGTTGAGCCAATTATTGAATTGTTAAGCCTGACTAATGAGAGAAGGCTGGACTGTGTACGCTTTGGTTCTGTTTTCTTCGGAACATCAAAAATTGAACAGATACTTCTTTATAATAATAGCCCAGAGCCCATAAATTGGGTGGCTATACTGCAAGATGATTCAGTTGGAGAAGAACTGGTAAGTAATACCACAGCAGAGGAAGATCAGTAATTATGTTCTGAAACATTGTTTTGAACTTACTAATGATCAACAAGCTGTTTAATTATTCTATTAAATAGGTTTTACCATGACTTGAAGATTGATTTCATCTTATTAGTCTCTAAGGATAACCTCAAAAGTCATTAAATTAAACTAACATTGATAATAATATTTATATCTGAAGTAAAATTAGGCAACTGTTCTTATAGATCAGTGACTAATTATAGGAATTTTTGTCTCATCAGTTTTTTAATAGTTCTTAAAATTTATGATATGCCTTGGTCTCTGATGTATGTTACCTTAAAGACACATACTTTCTTCTGGACTATGAAATTTCAATTATTATTTTATGACCTATACTTAAAATACTTTATTTTGTTATATTTTGTCCTAATAATCTTTATTTCTGATTTTATGTTACAGGGTACAAATATTCCACAAAGAACAGATGTTGTTTTAAATAATCTCACCTGCTTACGCAAAGTAAAGGATATCGATGTTACCACTTTTATCTCTTGTATTCCTAATGATGGGCAGTTGCTCCCTTATGAAAAGATTGTAATTACATTTTGTTTCAGCCCAAAGTAAGCAAAAATCAATTTCATTGTGATGTCACTTATGAATGGAAAGTATATTAACTATACATTCATCAAATTGATTTTATTTTAATTTTATTTTATATATTTTTACATCATTTTTCATTTTTGCACAATGTGTGCCTTTTCATCTTCGTTATAGTCCCATACAATTCCCACCCACCTTGTTTTGATCCTAATCCCTTCTCCCGCCACCCCCCCCCCCAGTGTGTCTCTGGTTTATAGTTGCCTGTTGATTTTGATTTTTACTTTATTATAATTAGTCTTTTTCCTGGTTCCTTATTTAGGTTTTCTAAATTCCTGCTATGAGTGAGGTCATCCGTTATTTTTCAAATTGATTTTAATAGTAAAAGTTTTTGAAGCTATCAGTCTGTTCTTTTTCATAGCTCTAAATGTTTCCAACATTTAGTATTATTTCCAATATTTAAGTGTGATTCTAAATACTTTATGTTAACTTAAAAATCTCTCTAAACTTTGTGGAAATGGGATGGTAGAAGTGAAAGATTGGGGTTGTTTTGGGTTGTGACCCCAATCCAATCTGTGCAATAGACCTTTTTGCCTTGCAGAAATAATTAGGTGATGGCCGGTGGCAAGCAGTATATTCTAGCTGTCCCCAAAGAAAGCACTCTGCTTCTGTTTGAGCAAAATGGCTGTTGACAAAGTATCATACATATTAAAACTATAGCAGCTGCTGGGATTAACCACAGCTGCTTGCTGTAATTAATATAGTTTTTTAAGGTTTTTTTTTTTTTTTTTTTTTTTGCTAATGTTTGTTTTCACAAGCCTTTGTACTTGGTTTGGTCATTTAGTTTGAAATATATTTGGAAATGCTGTTTTAAATGCATGTGAACAAATTGAGCTACACTTGAGAGCTTGCAGTATATGTGTATGGCATTAAGCAATCCACTTGTAAGTATGTTTACCCTGGCTTGTAAGAAGCAAAGTCTAATAATGTATCCATCTTTGTGGCAAGAGTCACTAGTAATACTAAACATGTGTTGAAGAATTGTGTTTCAATAATAGTGCCCCCTTTGCAACAACATTTAAACAAAAATAACTGAAATACTTTTGAAAGATCAAAAATCAAAATTATGATGGAACTGGAACCAAATAAAACAACCCCATTGATAAAATCAGTGGATATTGGAAAGTGGATATTTCCATTAGTCCACATGGCTGCATGTACTCTAAGATATGAACTTGGCATCCCCCAGTTATTTCCTCATACAAACAATGTAGTAGTCTGTTGGAAGCTCAGTCTATTTTTCTTCTTCTAGACCTTAAAAGTGTAGGTTTTTTTTTTTAGATTTAGAAGACTTAGTACATAAAAAATACATAGTTGTTTAAATGTTCAAGTAGTGCTTTAGAAGATTGATAGGGGAATGGTTCTCAATCAATAAAAATAGCATTCTGTGGTAAAACAAAGAAACAAAAAACAAACACACAAAAGAGTTGTAGTTTAATTGAAGGAGGGTAATAAATTTATTGTTTATTTGTACAATCTGCAATAACTGTATTAATCATACCTTCATACAGGAAATTTTTTGGTTAATGTGTAAGATTATGTTTAATACACAGTCCTTAAAATCCCAAGGGTGTGTGTGTGTTGCGCGGGGGGCGGAGGGGGGGAGGTTCAGCATGTTAACTTTGAGAGTCAAACATAATTTTATAGGTATGAGAATGATTTCAAGTCTTAAGTTAAATATGTTCTCAACATGCTATTGATATTTGCATTCTGATGTGGTATTTCATATCAATTTCTCATATATATATTTGAGCTTTCACTGCTAAAAAAGCTGACCTCCAGGTAAGAGAAGTAAAGATAGCTAGTGTGCAGGCCTGTGATTCAGTCCATCTGTCTTTGTCCTCTTTCCCTCTTTTAGTCTCTCCTTTTTTTTTTTTTTTTAAGATTTATTTATTTATTTATACACTCACTGGGTACAGTCAGAAGCACGGGAGGGTGAGAGAATTCTCCAGAGCCAGAGTGGGGAGCAGAACAGGCAGACAGACAAAATACACTGCTGAGGGGAGCAACGGGCATGGCAGGAGAGGTCTGCGCGCCATGTGGGACCCTTGCCGGAGGCCAGGGATCGAACCAGTGGTGCAGAGGCTGCGGACAGCCTCACAGCCCAGCGCTCAACCGCTGCGCCACCACGGGAGGACCCAGTCTCTTCTTTTTCTCTTCTGACAAAATTTTGCTGTTTTCTTGTTCTCCAATTGATTGTTTTTCTCTAAAAATAATATGCCTAGCAATATGTACTGAGTCCAGGGGAGAAATATGTAATAAAAGTTACCAGCTAGGAAGGGATCATACACAGCGAAATAAGCCAGAAAGAAAAAGGAAAATACCAGATGGTCTCACTCATAGCAGGAATCTAGAAAACTTAAATAAGGGACCAGGAAAAAGAATAACTATACGAAAGAAAATATCAAAATCAACAAACAACTAGGAACCAGAGACACTCTATGGGGTGGGGGGCGGGAAAGGAGGGATTGTGGTCAAAATAAGGGGGTTGTAATTGTATGGGGAATATAAAAATAAAATTTAAATTAAAAAAAAAAAAGTTACCAGCTAGACATTTGTGAGTAAGAAGAGCTACTGTAGAAAATTGAACAGTCCTTAGCCAGCAGTAAACTCTGCCTGGGAAAAAAAATCCTTTATATAAGAAAGTGGTGTTTTTGAGCTGAACCTTGATGACTAATATTTACATAACTCTTGTCTTGCAAATGTTGTCATGACTTTTTGGGGGTCTTGACCATTTGTGGCCTTCTTTTGGAAAATATATCAGTTCAGAAATTTTGGAAAATGGATCACCATTCATTTTTTATCCCTGACATTTTACCTTTTTTTTTTTCATTGATTTAAAGATTGGGTTGATACTCTCTACTGGAAGGCAATAAAATCTATCACCTTTGCTTTAAAAATAACTGACTGATTTTTATTTTACAGGCTAGTGCTTGATAGTAAAAAGAACTTTGACCCGTCCCACAGGCAGGATTATGTTGTCTTCTTGAGGTTTGAATCTGTAGGAAGTAAAGAAGGATTTTTGAGAGATGATAATGAAAGCATCAAAGGTAAGTGAAATGGGCAGAATCACAAGTGTGTAACAATTTAAATTAAGAGTTTAAACATCAATATTTGTAAAGGCAATTTAATAAAAACATAAAATAATTGAATGGAATGAAAATGCAAATATATCCAAGAGACCTTAAAACATCTGTGGCGTGTTAGGAAAGTAGTCAACCTCAGCGAGTATTTAGATGACCTTGTTATTTTAAAATGACATTAGATAAACATGATGATCTAGTGTTTAAGGAATGGAAAAAAAAAAACATGATTTCATTTCTATGTAAGCTTAGGTTTTCTCTTAGAGATTAATGTGGGAACAAATGACCCATTCCATCTCTGCCTGATCCTCAGCTTTCTTAGAATCTACATACAGTAAGTATCAGTCAAAGAAAAAGACCTGGAGCTCTCATAAATAGGGTATAATATACTGTTCTAGGATGTTAAAAACTGTGTTGTCTTTGTTGACTGCATGTCAAGATGCATTGTACTTTTTACTTTCTCACATAATGTTGGATGGGCCGCAGTGAGCAAAAGAGGAATAAGATTTGGAGTTCAGTTTAGCAAGACAGATTTAAGAAAAAATAAATATGTAGACAAATGAAGGATCAATACAGAAAGATGAGCCATGGTGAGTCAAGAGTCTAGAAGAGTTGTATGTCAGTGCAAGTGAAATTATTGAATAGAGTTGAACTGTGTTCCTTGGTCAGGAATTGATTGCTTTGTTACTACTTATGTTATGGTTTCTCTGCTGAGCACAGACAGAACATGGGTTTGAGGCTTGCAAGTTAATCTACTTTTGATTAACTAGAGATGGAGATGCTGGGTGTGCCTTAAAGGTAATTGAGAGTCTAGGATTGGCTGGTAAGATCATCAGTGAAGAAATATGAACTGTTTGGATTCTAGTTACATCGTTCTCTGCAAAATGGTTCTTTCACCCACTTAGAGCCTATAATTCATAGTTCCTTTGTTCTTTCTAGTATGTCAAAAACTTCATGTTTATCTTCCTGCCCAGCTTATATTCTAGTGTTCATTGTTTTAACCACCTTGTCCCAGGTACTGTCAGATTTCTTGGCCAATCTCCCATTGAGATTGTGTGAAAAACTTATAATCTGATTAAATTCAACCTTGAGCCTACTTTTGGTGTATACCTGGAAAGCTAACTGTGCTGGAGACAAACACAAACCGTACTCTGAGGGTTCACTTTATATCTATAGTAACTAATCCCGAGTGGGTCCTTGAAGAAGTTTGACATTCCTGCTGCATTTGTCCATTTGTTAACATTCTCAGCATCTGTGATTAATATCACACACCTTTGCATCACTTCAAACCTCCAGTGCTTCTTCCTTCACCTTCACTCGAAGTTTGTAAATACATTAAGTGATCTAGTAGACATTTCTAATTGGATGTCTCATAGTTGTCTCAAGTATAATAGGTCCAAAACAGAACTCTGGTTTTCCCTAACCTGTCCCTCCTGCAGTCTTTCTCACTCAAGAAACGGGAAATCGGGCCTCCCCTGGTGGCGCAGTGGTTGAGCGCCGTGCTGTGAAGCTGCCCCGCAAGCCTCTGCAGAGCCGGTTCGATCCCCGGCCACCAGCAAGGGTCCCACATGGTGGGCAGACCTCTTCTTCCATGCCTGCTGCTCCCCTCAGCAGTGTATTTCGTCAGTCTGCCTGTTCTGTTCCCCGCTCTGGCTCTGGTGAATTCTCTCACCCTCCCACACTTCTGACTGTACCCAGTGCTTGTATAAATAAAAATTAAAATTAAAAAAAGAAATGGGAAATCCATCACTTCAGTTGCTCCAATCAAAAATCTTATCACTGTCATTTATCACATATTCAATTTCCTATTCTACATCCATTCAGCAAATTTTGTTTACTTTGAAAAATCTAAAATCATACCACTGTGTCTCACCATTCTTCTATTCTTCCCATCATATTTTGTTTCTTATGTTTTTATTTTTTTCAAAACATGCCAAGAAAAATCCTGCCTTAGAATTTTTGTATTTGCTGTCCTCTCTGTTTGAAATAATTTTTTTTTCTGGATGTTGACAGGATTTTCTTCCAGGGTTCCTTTATATTTTTGCTTAAATATGTATCAGACAGGCCTTTTGGATCTCCCTATAAAAGGAGCAGCCCCAGGTTATGATGATCTCTCTTGCTCTACTTTATGTTTCCCCATAGCAACGTTCCTTTCTGAAATGCTACCTATTTGATTATTTGTATTATTGTCAATATCACGGCACTTGAACATAAAGTCCATGATGACTTTTTTATTCGCTGCTGTATCCCCAAGGCCTCGAAGACTACCTGGCACAGAGAAGGCACTTGATAATTTTGTTGAATCAAAGATTGAATGAGCTATCCAAGTCATTAGGTCTTTCATATGACACTGTTTGGACTGAGCAAATATATTCTGGACTCCAAAAACATACTTTATGTTAAAAAGCTATTATTATTTTTACAGGTGATCGATATCGCAAAGTGGAGTTAGCGCTGACAGGAACAGGACTTCCTGTCTTATTACACTTTGATCCAGGACAGGTCCTTGATTTTGCACCTTGTTTCATGGGTGAATGTTCCGAAATTACGTGTATTATGCACAATCATTCCAAGTCACTTCCTGTGGTATATGACTTTAGAAAAACAGCACATTTTAAAATCGATCCTCAAAGGGGCAAGCTTGATGAAGGATGTATCCAGGTAAGATGATTATTCTATGCTTTCACATGCTTCAAATATTTATTTTCTTGATTTAATTTTTGGACAGTATAGTATTTCTCCCCTCAGGTGTGGTCACCATAGTTCTCACACCACAAAATACCCATAGTGGATCACCATATTCCCCTGTACCCTTACCCCCTATCTCCCCCATCCTCCCACCTACCTCTCTACCCTCCCCCTCACCCCTCCCTTCATAGAAGCCTCCTATCTATGGTCAGCTTTCAAGGTTGGTATTTGTCTGAGTAGTATTCCGTTGTGCCTGTATACCACATCTTGATCCAGTCATTTGTTTGGAGGGCATTTAGGTTGTTTCCATATCTTGGCTACTGTAATTATTTAATTAGTGCTGCAATAAACATAGTGGTGTGGGTTTCCTTTCAAATTATTGGTTTTGTGTTCTTTAGGTAGATTCCTAGGGGTGGAATAGCTGAGTCAGAGGGCAGATCCATTTCTAGTGTCTTGAGGAACTTCCACACAGCTTCCCATAGTGACTAGACCAGTTTACATCCTCACCAACATGCTTCAGATATTTTAAGGTTTACTAAAATGCCATGAAGGGATTAAAAACTACATTTATTCCACCAGTGTTTAGAAATTGTCTCTCTTCTGTGGACTAGTTATGAATACTTTTGTATTGACAGTCACACAGTGTCCATAATTATTTAAGTGTCTTTCTTCATGCCAGGAAAGCATTTGACACTGCAGGGAATAGAAATATGTGCAAAACACAGTTACTGCTTTTGAGAATTTTGTTGTTGCTCTTGCGGGTGTTAATTTATCTCATGCCCAAGAGATTGGCCACTAAACGCCAATATCCAGCACAGAGCATTTGCCCTCTGGGTACGGTGGGTGCAGGAACTGATCCTGGAGCCCTTGTCTAGGGCAGTGGAATCCAGGGACCAGAAGTGGGATGCCCCTAAGCCAGCAGTTGCCAAGAGCAGCAAAAAATGAAAGGAGATGGGAGGCAGGTACGCCCACACCAAGGGGGTTGCAACATGCTTTGGGTCCAAACACCAGACTGAAGGGTAGCCAATCTGGGTGTGCATACAAGCAGTGGAAGTGGAGGTCCAGTGCCATGGGCCCCAGTTCCAGCTAACCCAAGACAGAAACAGAGAGGGCTGGCAATTTCGTCTCTGTGGAGCTTAGGCCTTGCCTTCCTATGAGGTGAGGTGGTATGGGAGTGCAGCGGCAGGAAGAGCACGGTTCAGGATCTGTATGATTGGAGCAGATGGGTGAAGGAGGAGTCCTGGAGCCCTCGGTGGCTTTTTTCAGGGTTTTATTAAGTTTACCAGGTACACAGCAGGCAGGGGTGCCAGGAACTCTTCACTCTTCCTAGGCTCTCTGGTGTTCTCGACCTTCTCTAGTTCTTCTGCTCTTATAAGCCAGTCTCAGCCCAGGTGTACCCACCTATGCATGCCCATACCCTGTTCCATGTGTCTGCCATCAGGCATGCATTTAATCTAATGGTGGGAGGGCAGAAAAGCCTGACTGTCATTTACCCTACAGGGAGGAAGCAGACACAGTAGTCCGAGTACTTATTGAGGACTAAGTTTCTGAGTCTTTTGTATGGCTGTGTCCTCCTTCTTGACCCTGACCCCCAATCCACCTCAAACCAGGCTGATGTCGAAGTGTAAGGTCAGCTATGGCCATGGAGCAGGTTTTCTATGATCCCATGCAGACGGGGTAAAGGAGGAGAGAGTCCTGGAGACCTCGGCGGGTTTTCAGGCTTTTATTGGGATTTACTGGGTACATGGCAGGTAGGGGTGCTGGAGGGCCTGGGGGCTGGCAGGCCTCCCAGCCCCCAGCAAGTCTTCACTCTTTCTGGGCTCTCTGTCGTTCTCTCTGCTTCTCTGCTCTCGGCTTCTCTGCTTCTGCTGGTGTCCCCGTGACGCCACCCTTAAAAGCCCAGTCTTAGCCCAGGTGAATCCCATCTACCTATGCCCACGCCCTACTCCAGGTGCCCACCATCAGGCATGCATTCGGGACCGCAGGGTTCCGTCATCTATTCTGATGTCGGGAGGGCAGAAAAGCCTGATACTTTTTACCTTACCCTACAGGAAGGCACTCTGCAGCCACAGGTCACGGGCTTTGTGTGTCTGGGGCACAGGGAGGAGGGATGTGGGGGCGGGCAGGCTGTCATAAGCTGAAGCAGCACCAGCTAGGGAGGAGCTGAGCGTAGGTCCTGGCAGAGCCTCAGGTCTTGGCCCTGGCACAGGCCTGCAGTCCCAGATTGACTCCTGCAGGCCTCACAGGTGCTCCGGCCCCCAGATCTCCGGCTCTTGGCAGTTGGGGGGATTCCTGTGTGGGCGGCACCCAGGCCGAGGTCAGGTGGTCCAGGTGACTAGGTGGGTGGTTCGGTTCCTTGGGAGGTGAGTGGATTCAGCTGTGCTACTGGCGATGGGCCCCCAGCTCCATCACCAGCGCAGGCGCAGCACAGCCATTGGGCGCCTTGACCAAGGGCTTGCGGTTCCTAGCAGCCCTGTGCGGATTGACGCTGCTTTCTTCCCTCCAGCTGGCTGCCGGTAAGAAAATTTTTAGTGCACAAGGAAGGGAATGACATAGAAACAAACAGGCGTGGTTTAAGAAGAATGCAAAATAGGTTAAAGGAGATCTGTAGCTAGGTGATAGGGACGCTCAGAGAACTGTGTTTGCTTACAGGCAGGGTAGAAAGGTTTTCCTGCCATGGTGACATAAGAGCCAGACCTTAAATAGACTTCAAATTTGAAACTGGTGATAGGTAACTGGTCTAGGCCATGTACTGCTGACACAGGACAGAAAAAACAGACCCCCAAGGCGTATCTGTAGATGCCAGGCCAGCTTCTAGATGCGAGGGCCAGCTTTTCTTAGATGACTTTTCTGCTCAGCTAACTCCCATTCCATCTCTGAACCAGGCCTTGGCGGACAGTAGTTCACAGGCTAAATTTTGCCTCCTGCCTGAGTGGTGTTTTGTTTTCTGGTTCAGCAGTCATTGTAGAGGCAGCATGGACCCTTAGCAGCAAGAATGGCACAGCAGAGCTCCTTGCGCTTCCCCACATCTACTTTTTTTTTCTAATTGAAGTAACGTTGCATTAGAACGTATAAATTTCATGTGTTCATCTTTGAGAATCAGCATATTGCGTATTACATTAAGTTCACTGCTTAAAATCCAGATCTATACTTCACCATACACTTGTCCCCCTTTTAAGATTTACCCACCTGCTTCCTTCCCTTTCCTTCTGGTAACCACTAATTGGCCTTATAGTCCGAAAGTTTATCTCTGTTTTCTCTATTACCACATATGAGTGAATTCATGTGGTGTTTGTCTTTCTCTGCTTGGCTCCTTTAGCTAAACATAATTCCCTTCAGGTTCATTCATGTTGCTGCAAATGGCAGAATTTTTCACCTTTCTTTTCCCATTTTATGGGTAAATAGTATCTCATTGTGTATCTATACCACATCTTTATCCATTCCTCAATGGTTGGGCACTTAGGTTGTTCCCAGCTTTGGCCTATTGTAAATAATGGTGCATTTAACATGGAGATGCATGTATCTCTTCAAATGGGTGCTTTTGTACCTTTTGGGTAAATACCCAGAAGAGTGATAACTGGATCATATGAGATTTCTATTTTAAAGTTTTTGAGGATTATCCATATTGCTTTCCATAATGGCTATACCAATTAAAATTCCCACCACTAGTGTATAAAAGTTCCCTTCTTACCACATCCTCTCCAGCACTTGTTTCTTGTCTCTTGGTTAAGAGCCATTCTCAGAGGTGTGAGGCGATAGCTCATTGTTGTTTTGATTTGCATTTCCTTAATAAAAAGTGATGATGAGGGCCTCCCCAGTGGCGAAGCATGTTGAGCACAGTGCTATGAAGCTGTCTACAGCCTCTGCAGTGCGGGTTCAATACCAGGCTGGCCAGGGAGATACCCATATGGCACGGCAGACCTCTCCTGTCTCACCCGCTGCTCCCCTCAGCAGTGTACTTCGTTAGTCTGCCTGTTCTGTTGCCCACTCTGTCTTTGGTGAATCCTCTCACCCTCCTGCACATCTGGCCTGTTATTTGTATAAATAAATAAATCTTTAAAAAAAAGTGATGATGAACATCTTTTCATGTGCCTGTTAGCCATCTGTTAATCTTCTTGGGAGAGGTGTCTATTTAAAGTCTCTGGCCATTTTTTTATTTTTTTAAAAAAGATTATACAAGCACTGGGTACAGTCAGAAGTGCGGGAGGGTGAGAGAATTCACTAGAGCGGGGAGCAGAACAGGCAGACCAATGAAGTACACTGCTGAGGGGACCAGCGGGCGTGGCAGGAGAGGTCTGTGCACCATGTGGGACCCTCACCGGTGGTTGGGGATCGAACCAGCGCTACAGAGGCTGCGAGCAGCTGTGCCACCAGGGGAGGACCTCTTTGGCCCTTTTTAATAGGGTATTTTGTTGTTGAGTTTTCTGAGTTCTTTGTATATTTTGTATATTAAACCCCTATTGGATGTATGCTGTGCTCCAATTGAGTAGGATGTCTTTTAGTTTTGATGTGAGTTTCTTTTGCTGTGCAGAAGCTTTTTAGCTTGGTACAGTCCCGTTTATTTTTGCCTTTGTTTCCCTTGTAGAAGTAGTGTCCCCAAACACATCTCCAAGGCTGATGTCAAGGAGTGAGTGGGTAGCGTATGTTTTCTTCCATGCACTTCATGGTGTTAGGATTTACATCTAAGTCTTTAATCCATTTTTAATTATTTTTTTGTGTATAGAGTGAGACAGTGGTCTAGTTCCATTCTTTTGCATGTCGCTGTCCAGTTTTCCCCAGCACTGTTGGAATCTTTCCTTGCTGCATTGTAAACTCTTGGCGCCTTTGTTATAAATTAGTTATCCACATGAGTGTGGTTTTATTTGTGGACTCTCAGTTCTGTTCCATTGACTTGTGTATCTTTTTATTCCAGTAGAAAACTTCTAAAATTACTGTCCTTTTATAATATACTTTGAAGTTGGGGAGTGTGATACTGCCATTTCCTTTTTATTAAGAGTATTTTTGCTATTCACGCTATTGTTGTTCCAAATGAACTTCATGACTTTTTGTTCCATTTCTGTGTAGGATGCCATTGGGATTTTCATAGGGACTGCATTGGGTAATATAGACATTTTAACGATGCTAAATCTTCCAATCCATGTGCACAGAATATCTTCCCATCTCTTCCTGTATTCTCACATTTCTTTCAACAATGTCTTATGGTTTTGGTATACAGGTGTTTCATTCTTTGGATAAAATTATTCCAAGTTATTTAATTTTTTTAATGCAATTGTAGGTGGTATTGTTTTCCTGATTTCTCTTTCTGCTAGTTCATTATTTACATATAGAAATGCAATAGATTTTTGTATGTTAACTTTGCATCCTGCCACTTTACTGTATTCATTTGCTATTTTGTAAAGTAAACTGTTACTGGAACATAACTGCTCTTATTTTTCACCTCTTGTCTCTGACTGCTTTCATTTAATAAAGGAAAGGATGAATAGTTGTGGGAAAGTTGTAAGGCCCATAAAGCCTAAAGTATTTGCTGTCTGGCATATTACACAAAAAGTTTCCAAAACTTTCTTTAAATGGTAGCAAGCATGAAAGATTTCAGTTTTGCCTCAGTTTATGATGTTATATCCTTTCTCCACTGTGTAGTGATATGGTTCTTAAAGTTATTGTTGGAAGCTTTATTCCAATTGCAATCAAGAACTATTGTATGCATATTTAAGTGTCCAACTCATATTTATAACTTACTGATTTATTAGAATAACCCACACCAAATTTGCAAAGATTTAATCAGTATTTATAAAATAACAAGGGCTAACTAAATGATGCAGAAAATTTATTTTTAATGCCTGCCTAGGCTTCCTTTAGTCCAAATCTCGTAAATCTACCACCTCAAATAATTTTTTTCCTGTAACATACAAACATACAACTAAACATATCTATTAGTTCCTAGTATAATTTTTCACCTTCTATATTTCTGGATTTCTTTAGCACCAGTAAGTTTTAAATTAATAAAAAGTAAATGTAGGAAATGTGGGGGATCCTGGAGAACTGTGATTTCTACAGTAATGAGAAGTGTGGTAAGCTTATTCTTTTAAAAAAAATCTAGTTTTACTGAAGTATAGTTCATATAACATAACATTCACACATGTAACATATACAATTCAGTAGTATTCAGATATTCATAGATTTGTGAAACCATCAGCACTATATAACTCCACAGCATTCTCAATGCCCCCCATAGAAACCCTGTCATTAACAGCCACTCCCTTTTCTCCTCATTCCTTAGCCCCTAGCAACCACTATTTTCTGTCTATAAATTTCCCTGTTCTTGATAATATAAGTATAATCATATACAATGTTGCCTTTGTGTCTGATTTCTTTGATTTAGCTAGTATTTTCAGGATTCATTAGTCTTGCAGTATTTATCAGAACCTCATTTCTTCATAGGGCTGCCTCTTAGTTTATTCCTTCATCAGTTGATAGACATTTGAATTGATCCCACCTTTTGGCTATTATGAATAACACTGCTATAAACATTCATCTACAGGTTTTCTTATGTATATATTTTCATTACAGAAACAAAGCATGTAATTAAACAAAAGGAGACATTAGAACTTTCAATACATATCAAAGTACTCGGATGGGATGGCAATAAATATTCAGTTTATATTTGCCCCACAAGTCCCCAGCTTTATCCTCAACATTCTTTTATTTTCTCTCAGTTTTATTGAGGTATAATTGACAAATAGGAATCGAATGTATTTAAGGTACACAACAAGACATTTTGATATATGCATATATTGTGAAATGATCACCACAATCAAGTCAATGAACATATTCATCACCTTACATAGCTGTGATTTTTTTTAAATGGTGAGAACACTAAGTTTTACCCCTTTAGCATATTTCCAGTCTGTAATATAGTATTGTTAATTATAGTCTCTATGTTGTACATTAGATTCATTTCATAAAACATACTTTGTACCCTTTGGCCAACATCTTCCAATTTCCTTCTCCCTCCCACCTCTAAAACTGCCATTTTATTCTTTCTTATGAGTTTGACTATTTTAGATCCCACATATATAAGTGTGATCATACAGTATTCTGTGTCTGGTTTATTTTACTTAGCGTAACATACTCTAGATTCATACATATTGCAAATGGCAGCCTTTCTTTTTTAAGGCTGAATAATATTCCATGTTTTCTTTATACATTCATCCATGATAGACATTTGAATTGTTTCCAACTTTTTTTTATTGTGAAAAATGCTGCAGTGAGGGTGGGAGTGCATATATCTTTTTGGAAATACTGATTTTGTTTTCTTTTGCTATATACCCAGATGTAGGATTGCTGGATCATATAGTAGTTCCATTTTTAATTTCTGGTGGACCTCCATATGGTTTTCCTTAGTGGGTGCCCCAATTTATATTCCCAGCAACAGTGTGCAGGGATTCCCTTTTGCCCATATTTCTGACAACACTTGTTATTCCTTGTGATTTTGATAAAATAAAAAAAAAAGAGAGAGAGAGAGAGATTAGAACTTTAACTTTTCCCAGGAGGATATGCTATCCTCACACTTGTATGGTATCAGGAGACCCAGGAGCTTTCAAATAACTTCTGAATATTTTTATTTGTCATTGTGCTAGCTGTTGCTTGTCTTTGTTTTGCTTAGCCTCTCATTAGCCTTAAGTGGCAATACCACCTCAGGTTTCTCTGATGTTCTGTAGTTGTCACTGATTTTTTTTGAAGGGGGAGAATGAAGCAGCAAAACCCTGCAGAGAGAGTTGTTCATAGAGTGAGCTCTGAATCAAGTCAGTTAAAGGTATGCCCACATAGTACACACTCTAATTAGCTTAGAGAAAGGACAAATAGGGATAATTTTCTCTATGGGGAAAGGCTTTGTGGAAAACTACAAACCCATTGTCCTTTACTGGCTGCTAGGCTAATAGTTTACACAGTTACCACAGTCCAGCAAGTACAAATGCCATAAAGCCTTTTGTTTTTTCAGAGATTCAGCCATTTTTTTTAATGCTCCTTGAATTTCACCCAGCTTTTGGGTAATTTTCAAGTATCTGAAGGAGTTGATTTTTGACCGTGTTCTTTTCCTGTTTTAAAGGAGTAGAGGCAGCAGTCTTTCATCCCACCTGCATCTCTGTAGGTGCTTCCTTTCACCAACTCTCTCCCTCTGCAGGGCAGCAGCTTCCTGCCTGCTGGTGAACTGTACCTGCCAGGACTTCTCATAGACCTCCCTCAGTGGAGGCAGCTCTCCTCAAGGCCGCCTGCCTGCAACCATGCAGGACTCTCTCAGCAAACCTGTCCCTTTGGGACAGCTCTTCCTGCCCACTTGTGTCTATGCAAGTGTCTTTTAATTTTCTTTCCCTTTTCTAATAAACCTGTTTTTCAAATAGTAAAAAAAAAAAAAAAAGGAGTAGATGACTGGAGGTCCCTCAGCTGTCATACTGGAAGTGCTTCTACCATTGTTCTTAATTTTTTTCTTAAATTATTTTCCAGCAGTATGTATTTTAAAGGTTTGTGAATGCAGTATATATTTCTAAAAGGATGTTTTATCACTACGATGAAGTAACTTTCCTTAAAATTTTATAAACTATTTTTTGGGTTTACTTTTGATTTTTTCCTAACAGTATGGTATTGTTTTCTTAATCCATTTGGTTTGCCATAAGTGTGTTGTTTAGAAATAACACATCTGTTTCTAACAGTTCTGGTGAATGGAAGTCCTAGATTTGGTGATTTGGTGAGGGGCCTCTACCTGCTTGAAAACTTCTTCCTCACGTAGAGGAGGAGCTAGAGAGCTCTGTGGAGCCTCTTTTATAAGAATGCTAATCAGGAGTCTCTGTTCTCATGACCTAATTACCCTCCAACACCCCAGCTCATAATTCCATTATACTGAGTTTTAGATTTCAACATGAGTCTTGGGAGTTCACAAATATTCAATCTATACCAGTTAGCTACTTTTCTTCTTTTTTTCTAGAATGTGACATGTTCATTCATTCCACATCAAGTTGGGATCTTTAGTGTGAAGCAATGCATACAAATTATTGGCGCAGTGGCAAATGAAGATTTACTGTCTACATCGCTGAAACCTTTTCATCATGTATATTTAGAGTTCAACAGTGTCTGTAAACCTTCCAGCAAAGAAGTTGTGATGGACATTAATCCTGGTAAGTTATTGTGAATGCTTAATCTTTTTTTTTTGTTAATTTGGTTAACATAGGATTATCTTAATATATTAATTACTTAGCTACATATTTCAAATATGATCTAATCAGGTGGATTTTATCTTTTGTGTCTGTCAAAATCACCTAGAAGACCTATTAAAATAATTACGACTGACTTACCATCCCCGCATTGATTAAGTTAGTCTTTGCTGGAACCCAAAGATTTGCATTAATAACATGTTCCCAGTAGATTCTAATGTCCTTTTGAGGATTGTACTTTGAATAATTTGGTTTAATGAGATATAAAATTTATCAAACATTTGAAAGTGGGCAAAGGACCTCAACAGATACTTCTCAGAGAAGACATTCAGGTGGCATGTAGACATATGAAGAAACGTTCCACGTCACTTATTATAAGAGAAATGTAACTACACTGAGATACCACCTCACCATAGTGAGAATGGTCCATGAAATGAACTATTCCAAGACACATGGCTTTATATTTTATTCTTCCACATTTTTTTTGTTTAAATACAATATTAGCTGGTTTTAATCATTCCATGGAATTTCTTATTGCTGCTATTTCATCCAGTCCTCTGTAATCTTTCTCTCATTGAACCATATGAAATAGCTTGATATTCATCTCTCTTTAACCTACACAAACTTCAGTTTCATATGGGTCAATCCAGTTTTTCAAATTACTATTTTTATGCATGCATTTTGTTACTTATTTTGATAGATTGTTTTGTGTAGGTTCATTTATTAAAATGATTATTTTTATTTTCTGAATGTATAGGGACTTAGCTTTAAGTTAGAATCAGTAATGTAGAATGAATAGTGTATTAATTAATGAATATTTTTTAGAAAGCTGAAATTCATAAAATCATGTTTAAACTTAATACTCATTTCTATTAAAGGTATATCTCCTTTGGTTAGTAATCCTACGGGACAGTTTGTGATCAAAGATTTGGTGAAATACAAGGACAGTACACATGTTGCAATGCTTCAGTCAAAATTTACAAACATTCACAATCATCGCCAAGGTAAACAGTCAGTGAAGGATGCTCTGATAGCCTATCCTAATGACCGAACTGCAAGTATCAGGTCTGGAGACCAGCATAAACGTTTCAGGTAACATGCTTTGCTTAAACACCTGACATTTTGAAAAACATAATGATGAACATGACATGTGAGGTCTTACAGATCCTCTTGTAACTAATGTTTGCAGCAGCAGCAGCAGCAGTAGCAATAGTAGTAGTAGTAGTCCTAATTGTAATGAACTTTTATTTTCTCATTTTTCTACATTGGAAACGATGGTTGTTGAATTGCTAGTGCATTTGATTTATCTAACTTCTTATCACCTGTACTATGTGCTTGCTGAGGAGTGAATGGCTTACCAGATAATTTTTCAAATATGATGTGACTAATATAGAATGATAGAAACAATCGCTTTTCAAAATCTATGAATTCCTCAGAATGTTCATGTTCATTAAGTATGGTTGAGAGCATGAATTTTATCTAAGGTTAAAAAAATTTAAATTGTGAAAAATCAGTCATCCTTGTCATCGTCGTTATCATCATCATCTTTGTTCAATCCCCTCAAAGTCACATTTCTAGCAGCATTTCCCAAAGTGAACAAAAACTCCCCAAATATGATCATAAGTGATAGTAAACCTCAATTTACATGTATCCATAGTAAGAAGAAACCCAGGCATCCTGGTATCTTTATCTGGGCTGTTTGCCCAACAGTGGTTTCTACACCTATGAGACAGAAATGAGTTTCTTTTTTGACAGTTCATGTGCTATTAGTGGACTATCTAAACTTGATTATATCCTTGAACTTTCTCTGTCTCTTTTCTTTTGGTAAGTCATTAAGCCAACTTAATCTTATAGCCATTTTCTTGCTATAACTTTTGAGGTTTAGGTTGTAATTGTTTTTTATCCACAATTGGAAAATTCTGGGTTTTTATATAGTTTGTCTTATTATTTTACTTGAAAAATTCCATCCACATCAAGCTTTCTCTTTTTAATATTTGACAAGTACCATAGAACATAAAATTGTAAAAGTCACTCATACTCCATTTTTAGTAATTATGTAGTACCCATCCTTCCCTCTGACTCACTACACTCTACCCCACCTTTCAAAGATAGCCCTGAAAGCAATTATTTATTTTAAAATGTTTACAATCTGTTGGTGGGAATGTAAACTGGTCTAACCTTTATGGAAAATAGTAGGGAGGTTTATCAAAATATTATAAATAGACCACGTGACCCAGCAATTATACTGCTAGGTATGTACCTGAAGAATTGAAAACACTAATTTGAAGGGATATATGCTCATTGCAGCACTATCTACAATGGCTAACTTATTGAAAATAATGTAAGTGCCCAAGGATGTGTTATTAAGTGGGCTAAGTAATATGAGATATGTGTGTGTGTGTGTGTGTACACACACACACACACAGAGAATGGAATACTACTCAACTATAAACAAAGATGAAATCTTGCTATTTGTAACATTAAGAATGGAACTGGAGGGGTTTATGCTAAGTGAAATATCAAAGGATAAAGACAAATACTAGGTGGTTTTGCTCATGTGTGAAATACAGAGAAAGAAAACAGTCAGCCAACATCAAACCAAAAACAAATACCAGAAATCTGACTGTAAAACTGAGGCTACCATTGAGGGGTAGCAGTGGAAGATGGTAGAGAGGTAAGGAGGGTAGGGCCTCAATGGACTATGTTGGAGGACTATGGGTAGCTTGGTGGTGGGTGTGGTTTATTGACATACACCAGAAGTGGATCCTCTATTTCTGAATCATATGCAGTATTGTAAACCAATGTTAACTTAATTTTTAAAATATGTGTGTGTATATATATATACACTGAATTAAACTATGTAATTGGGGCTGCGTCCATTGCAAATATCTCATCTTTGCAAGAAAGTAGCATGCATGTCAGGATACACTTTATTTACACTAAAGTAGCAAACAACCCTCAAATCTCACTGGTTCTTAACACAACTGTTTTACACTTGCCATATTTCCTACATGGGTTGGAAAGCCTCTGCAGACTTTCAGGGTCATAGGCTGATAAATAATCCATCTCAACACATGCTTCCCAAAAACCTAGGCAAAAAGTCAACTGAGTATTATGGTAAATTACATATTGATTCTTGGGTTTTTAACTTTTTTTTAAAGATTTATTTATACATACAAGAACTGGGGTCTAGGCTAGAGGTAGGGGGAGGTGAGAGGATTCCCCAGAGACAGAGTGGGGAGCAGAACAGGTGGCTCTACTGAAATACACTGCTGAGGGGAGCAGCAGGTGGGACAGGAGAGGTCTGCTGCGCCATGTGGGTGGCTCCCTGGCTGGAGATTGAACTTGTGCTGCAGTGGCTGCTGATAGCTTCATAGTGCTGAGACTTAACCCCTTGTGCCACAAGGGAGGCCCATCTTGGGTTTTTTTTAATATGAATTTTAGATATATCAATATTTACCACATTAGAAGGTAAAAATGAGGTCTGTTTATTTAAAGAATTATTTATTTATGCATACAAGAATGGGTACAGGCCAGAGGTTTGGGGGGGCGGGTGAGAGGATTCACCAGAGACAGAGTGGGGAACAGAATAGGCAGACTGACTGAAATACACACTTGAGGGGAGCAGTGGGTGAGACAGGAGAGGTCTGCTACACCAGGGTTGCTCCCTGGCCGGGGATAGCTTCATAGTGCTGTGCTTAACCCCTTGCACCACCGGCGAGGCCTGAGGTCTGTTTTTTTGTTTTGTTTTGTTTTGTTTTGTTTTGTTTTGTTTTCCCTTCCACGGATCCTTTTGGCTCTTTCTCCCTCATCCCTCCTCTTAGGAATCTTAATTTCTTCTTAACTTTAGAAACATCAATTCAGTTATCAGTTTCCAATAGTATATAACTGCCCAGCCAGACAGACTTGGCCCAAAGCAGGGCATCTAAGACCAAAAGTTGCCACAAGTCCACGGTACGTTCCTTCTGGGGACCGCCAGGAAGGGCTAGTGAAGTCCCAGAAAGCTGGAGCAGAAGGAGAGACTCTGAATTCCCAATGTACCCTATAATCCTCCATGAGGTCAAGATAACAGATGCTGTTATCTCTGCCAAAACTCTAAAGTCTCAGGAGCGGTATCTCCGTGTATCTCTTACCCACGTTTCTCTTCTCCAGGTATCTCCCTTTTCTCTTTTGTTCCACTGCCAATGTATATTCACTTTGCTTCCTAACTCCCCCATTCAGGAAGTCTGGGTCATGGCTTCCTGGGAATTGTAATCCAAGGTCCTTGAAATCTTGTCAGCTTATAGATGAGAGTAGAGTATGTTCAGGACATCATTCACTGGCTCAGAGTTTGTTCCTCGCTATTCTCTGAATCTCTGCTTATACAAATAGATAGCTACATAGGCAGATATATAATGTGTTAATTTATTTTTTACCAAAATTGATATATATTATGGGGGGGAAATGAATAGAAAATAGATGGCAAACCATGGTGTTACCTCTGGCAGCATAATATGTTAATATAACATTAACAATTTGTTTCTGTTTGAATAAATAGTAAATAATTTAAAAATGCCAGAATTTTTTTGAAGGTTAATGTAGGGTAAGTGAAAAAGTATCAGGCTTTTCTGCCCTCTTGCCATTAGGATTGATGATGGATCCCTGTCATAGGGATCATCATCCTTGTGATGATGTATCCCTCCATACATGCCTGATGGTGGACACCTGGAGTAGGGTGTGGGCATGCGTAAGTGGGTACACCTGAGCTAAGGCTGGGCTTATAAGGGTGACCTCATGGGTACGCCAGCAGAGCAGAGAAGCAAATAGAACCATGAGAGCAGCAGAGAACAAGGCCACCAGAGAACACTGGAGAGTCCAGGTAGAGTGAAGACTTGCTGGGGGCAGGGAGGCCTGCCAGCCTCCCGGCCCCCTAGTACCCCTGCCTGCCATGTATCTGGTAAATCCCAATAAAAGCCTGAAAAGCTTTTGATCTATTGATCACTGAGGGCTCAGGGACCCCTCCTTTACCCTGTCTGCTCGGATCATAGAGACCCTGCTCCGTGTCCTCCTGCCCATTACAGTTAAACATTTCCCATTGTCATAATTGTTTTCCTCAAGTTGCTCTTTTCTGTATGAATAGAAATACAAAATTAGTTCAGTTATTTTTGTGCTAGCAATTAGTAACTTTGAGTAATGAGATTTTACTGAATATTAAATTTTTGGTAATTATAATTACTATTTTATTTTTTAGTGCATTTTACCTTTTACAATTTTTTAGTAGAAAATAGGGTAGGAATTTTTGGGGCTTCCTTGCCCCCTCCCTGGCCTGGCTCCACCAGCCTGGGAGTCCCACTTTATTTCTGTCCATTGTCTCCTCAATAAACTTTTTATCTAAACAAACAAACAAAACAACAAAAAAAAAGAAAGTAGGAATTTTTGTCTAGTTTTTGTTTGCTGCATTATGTCCTCTGCTTAAAACATTATCGGGTTGGGCCTCCTGGGTGGTGCAGCAGTTGAGTGCTGGGTTGCGAAGCTGCCCGCAGCCTCTGCAGCGCCGGTTCGATCCCCGGCTGCCGGGCGAGGGTCCCACATGGCGCGCAGACATCTCCTGCTGCCCGCTGCTCCCCTTAGCAGTGTACATCAGTCCCTCTGCCTGTTCTGCTCCCCGCTCTGGCTCTGGTGAATTCTCTCACCCTCCCACGCTTCTGACTGTACCCAGTGCTTGTATAAATAAATAAATAAATCTTAAAAAAAAAAAAAAAAAAAAAAAACAGTGTCAGGCATGTAGTAGGCACTTGGTAAATATTTTTGGATAAACAAGGAAAAATGTTTTACTTACATAGTAATGTGTAGGTCCTGTGCTTTGCGCACTTAAAATCACGTAGTCAAAGCTGCAGAGGTATTTCTTGGAGTATAGTCTTCAAGAAGGTAGTAAACAGATAAAGATATAGCCAGCTTTTTGTCACTTCAGGCATTTGGTCCACTGTTCTGAGTTGCTGCTTTTCTCTTTGTTACAGACTAGGGGATTTCAGATTTAGCACTTAACTTCTTTTTTTTTTTTTTTTTTTATAGAGGCGTGCTTTATTTATTTGTTTGTTTGTTTGTTTTGTTTATACATGCACTGGGTACAGTCAGAAGCGCGGGAGGGTGAGAGAATTCACCAGAGCCAGAGCGGGAAGCAGAGCAGGCAGAAGGACCGAAGGACACTGCTGAGGGGAGCAGCGGGCGGCAGGAGAGGTCTGCGCGCCATGTGGGACCCTCCTTCGGTGGCCGGGGAGCAGCCGGGGATCGAACCGGCGCTGCGGAGGCCGCGCGCAGCTTCGCAACCCAGCGCTCAACCGCTGCGCCACCGGGGAGGCCCAGCACTTAACTTCTTGCTTCCAATGGTGGTTAAGGTTCCTGGAGCCTGAAGGGAAATTCAAGTATTAACAACTGTCCTTGAATGACAAAGTATTTGTTTCTTATTGCCTCTCTCTCTTAAAGACTTCAACTGACATGAAGCAATCTTACTATATCCATTGAGGAATTGATGAAAACAGGGAGAAATATTATATTAAATTTGCTTTACCTGTATGACTAACAGCTTCATGAGTTAATTATTGGGATGAGAAACTTAATAAAATTGCTGAGAATTGTGATAGATCAAGACTAGAAGGTGTGAATAATTATGCTTTTTTATGGAAAATATATGCTGAATGAAAATGAAGCGCATAAACCCAGTGAATATGAAATGTAGTTTTCAGTTTTATTATGAATTTTTTTGTATAAATACATGGCTGATATTTTATAAACTCTGAGATAATAAGAAAGTAGGATGTTTAACCCAAGGGTTTATTATTTGATATATTTTTTTTCAAATTTCAATCTCAAAATCAATAAGCTTTAAAAGAACACTAATTGTTACAGTGCATCCCCAAGGGCAAACAGTATGACCTGGGTGTGAGTCCTCACCCACATGCTTAATGACTTAGGACAAGACTCAAGAGCATGCACACAAAGAAAATTTAACAGAAGTTTTGTTTTCAAGGGAAATGAGAAGATGGAGAACAGATTAATTGGTCAATATGTCCTTCCAGTAACGCTGTCTGATCTAGGATCCTGGTGGGTACATGCTAAAAGCAGGCAAAGCCAAGAGTATGCAAACCCACAGGTTTTTGGGTTTATCCCAAGCATGGATGCTTAACTCCACCCTAGTTTCCAGCAACTCCCCAATTCAGGAAGTCAAACATCATGGTAGGTTCATGGCATGATGGGAGTTTTAGTCCTCAGAGCCTGATTTTTCTTTGGCATGGAGGTAGGATTGGAGTCCATAATGTTCCTCCAACATAATCAGATTCAGATCTAGTCCCACCTGTAATCTAGAACTGTCCAAATTGCCTGCTTGACTAAGAATGGGTTTAGAATAAATGCCTTTATTTCCTGGTGACTTTAAGGATTTTCTCTGATTAGATTAAGAAGAAAATTAGATACCACTCTACTGCTAAGTGTAATAATATCTTGATATATAATAGAATATAAGGGAAAGGGCTAGAATCTGTCCTTTTCACCATTTTGCCTCAACCCTTTGGCATAGACAGCATTTAATACTGATCGAATAAATGCATATTTATATAAATTCATATGACTTGTTCATATTGTAGGACAATTTTCACAAAGACTCCAAGATATAACTATGTGGATCCTGACTATGCCTATACTGAATCTGAAAAAATGAAAAAGAAAGAACATGAGAACTATTATATGAGCTACATTAAACATTTAAGAGAAGTGCGCCTGCAGAAAGAAACAGATAGGTAAAGTTCACTTCCTCAATCAATAGGAAACAGATTATACTGCCTGTAGAGCCAGGAATTTTTTTCTTTACTCCTTAGTTTCTTGTTAGTGACTTGAATGGCTTTTTCATGTATGAAAATAGCAACAGTGAACTACTTGATAATTTTCCCCCTTTCTTTTGATTGGTGGTTTTCCTCAGAAGCAAACCATGACAGGGATTGCAGCACATGAAGTATTTGGAGAGAGTTCTTTTAGGAGAAACCTGTACATGATGAGGGAAGCAAGAAAGGGCAGGGGTGGTAACTTGGAAATAATGTGTTTCAAGTATGGTTTACACTCAGCCTGACCACCTAGATTATGCTGTTCTTACATTATACCACGTAGTTGTTCTTGCCTTGAGTCAAGGGCTTGTATTTTGTGCATAATTTCAGACATTGACTGTGAGCTGTCGCTGAGTGTGGTAGGGTGGACATATTTTCCTTGGGGAGATATTTTAGAATGGGATCTCCTCAGAAGGAGCAATTTTATGCAGCTTAGTACATCAGTCTCCTTTGGTGGTTCTGAGTGATCAGCAACAGCTTGCACAATGGAGAATATTTGGATTTACAGATATTTTTTCTAAAGAACTTGGCCTCAGATATTCATTATTATGTTTTCAATAGGTTATACAGGAGTTCATACACTGATTCAGAGATAGGATTACAGCAAGCATCAGGCATAAAGTCACCTGTACTCTCACTATCGGAAGTAGAAGAGGAAGTCTTTTCAGAGTGTCGGATCAAACCTCACCAATTGCTGAGTATCAGAAATATATCTTCCAAAGAGACAAAGTGTCTGAAAAGAAAGGCATGTGCAGTATTTTACAATTATGCCATGAGATTTCTTTTTTTTTTAATATTTATTTATGCATACAAGAACTGGGGTACAGGCCAGAGGTTTGGGGGGGTGAGAGGATTCACCAGAGACAGAGTGGGAGCAGAACAGAAGGATCTACTGAAACACACTGCTGAGGGGAGCAGCAGGCGAGACAGGAGAGGTCTGCTGTGCCATGTGGGTAGCTCCCTGGCCAGGGATCCAACTTGTGCTGCAGAGGCTGCAGATTGCTTCATAGTACAGTGGTTAACCCCCTGTGCCACCAGGGAGGCTGCCATGAGATTTCTTAAAATATCTTTTGCTAATATTTAACAGTTAATTTTGGAATATATGATTTTTACAGGTTCTCAAAGGACTTAAATCATACCCTTCTACCCCCCATGAAAAACACGATTGCAGCTTACTTTTGACACCAAAGCAAATTCATCAAGTCGTAGTTGGTAAGAATCTATAAGAACCTGGTCAAGTCTGTATTTTCAACAAATTTACTGAAATTGTTAAATATCAAAAAATCTAACTGATTTCATTTTAAACATCTAGTTGGCGTTATTCAATGCTTCATGACTTGGGCAGCATCCCATGTAGCAATACAAAAGGGCTCTGTAAGAAGTTTTATAAAATGGAAGGTTTTTATAGTCAGAAGGAGGATTGGGCAAAGTCATTAGCAAAAGAGAAGAAGGATTACTTCAGACAAAGCCACCTTGCACTAGGAAAAGGCAAAGGGCTATCTTTACCATGCAGAGCACCTTACTAATGCAGAACAGGAAACACCAGACTGGTTAATTTAAATTTCCACTTTTGGGAGAGACTGAAACTGCAGTTAGGTTTGGATTTGTTGGGCTATAAAGAAAAGCATCCTGCACCACTCTGACTTCTAGGCTGCAGATAAACAAGCATCAGAAAGATTGATAATAGACAGAATTGTATATAGCTTTAATAATAACACATATGCTTCCTGTTTACAAGCTAGAGACCCAGCATGACTGAGTAATTTACCCACATGGCTTTGGACACCATCTTAAATAGTTTAGCTAGAACAGGGAGGTTGGGGGAAGAGAGGGGATGTTCTCTCCTATGGAGAAACAAAGGAAGCAAATTTAAATTTTACCTTCTCCAAAAAAGAGATAAGATTAAGTCATCCTGAGAGAGGTCTTTACAGAGAGAATTTTATAGATAAATATCTAAAGCAACTTCCATCCAGCCTTCAGAGCCCCTCCCATGAAATAAAGCTCTTGCCAAAGACATTTGAGAGTGGCAGAATTTTGTTCTCCTACAGTAATAAGATCTTGGTGTGGCTTCGTATGACTCCATTTTGGGCCTGTTATTTCTCTCTCTTTTTAAAAAAGTATAATTTTATATTCCACAAAATGTACCAGTTTATAATATGCAAGTCAGGGAATATTGGTAAACTTAAAGAATTATGCCACCATCATCACAGTTCAATTTTAGAATGCTGCCATTGTCATGTCCTACACCTAGTGCTAGTAATTTTGTTACATAATTTTTCCATGTAATTAGTATATATTTGCAATATATAAAATAATTAGAATACATTGAATTTTAACCAGTAGACTCAAACATCATATAATGGTCATTTAGATAAAAAGCTTGGTTAATAATTTGTGATATTATAATAAATGTTTTTCTAAATGCTATTTTTATAAATTAATTGATCATGGCGAGTATAAAAACTTAAAAAAATAAACACATTTACCTACTTTAAACTTAATAATTTGCTCTTCATTTTTCAGGGCCCACTGTTCTTAACTATGGTGATATTTGTGCCAACTCCACAAATACTCGTCTACTGCATGTTATTAATATGCTATCAATGCATATTATCATCCAGTTAGATGTTAACTTGGATGAACTTCGGAAGACCAATCAATTTTCATATGTGATTCCACCTACATCCAGCACTCATATTTCAGTGTTGTTTGAATCTCCCACTGTTGGAAAATTTTGGAAGTAGGTTTTTTTTTTGTATTTCTCTTTGCCAGAATAAAAGTGTCCTTTTCTATAATATGTATTTATTTACCCTAATAATAATATAGTATATTTCGACCCTCCAAGTGGAAACTGTATGTGCATCATTTGTAGATTCATCTTTCAGTGGTAATTATCTTTAATAATTATTTCAATGTATTGCTTATAAATGATTAATTATGACTATTAATATGTGATTTTTTAACCTATAACTAAATCTGTAATTGCAAATAACTACTATCCGTGAACTTTGGATGCTTTTGCTGTGTTACAGGTCTTTCACCTTTACAGTAAACAATATACCTGGTGGACACATCCTCGTGATGGCAGTTATCCACCCAGTAAGACTTGAACTATCTTCCAGTGAGCTAGTATTGAGACCACATGGCTTCTTGGTGAAAAAATGTTTTCGGGCTACAGTTAGGTTGTATAATCGTCAGAATTATTTTGTGCAATTTGAATGGCAACCTGTACACACAGCAAAAGGGATGGCATTTTCCATTACTCCAGTTAAAGGTAATAGTTTATTCTGTTTGATTTATTCATTTAATTATGTATTCAGGCACTAGTAATATATTGACTGTGTACTGGATAATGGTGCTAAGACGTAGAAGTAAGTCAAATGTGGTCATTGGACATTTATTTCTACATACATACATACATATGTAAATTTGGTATAAAATTATGTATCCTGTCTTTGGGTCCTCCAGAGAAAGAGAGCCTGTAGGAAATATATAGAGAGATAGTAATAGAGTGACATTTTAAGGAATTGGCCGTTGTGTGGGATGGCAATTTTGAAATTGAAATATGTAGAACAGGTCAGCCGAGTGGCAGGCAGGAGATCTGGGAGAGAATTAATGATGCAGTCTTTTTTTTTTAAGGCTATCAGCTTTTTGGATGAGGTCTTCCCACAAGGTGGAAGGTGATCTGCTTTACTAAAAGTCTGATTCAAATGTTAATCATATCTAAAAAACACCTTCAAGCAATATCTAGTCTGATATTTGACTGAACAATTGAGCACCATAGCCTCGCCAATAGACAAAATTAACTATCAGAGATAGAGAGGAACATAGTTATTTTTTTCGTTGAGTTTTAGTTTGATTATAATGATATGATTCAGAATGACATTTTGTTAGATTGTGAATTATTTTAGAAGGATCCACAAATTCTTTATAGTCTATATTTAATACAAATAGTAAAATCCAATTAAATTCAGAACTTAAAACTTATTAAATTTTTTCAATTAATAGAATAATTTCAGGTTTACCATTTCTGATGGTTCCTTGTGTTCTGTTCGTTTAGTAATCTCTTAGACTTGCTTCTGCCATTCCCTGGAATTTATAATTTCTCATAATATTCCTTTATAAAACTGAGCTTTTATAACAGTAACTAAACTCTCATTTACCTAGTGGCCTGTCAAAGTTAGCAAACATCATTGTGATTTGCTGAGAAGAGCTCTTGAAGACACAAAATATAAATAAGTAAAATTGTCAGTTATAGATTGGGTAAGCTGTAACATATCTTCTTATATATACCCATGCCTTGCTAGCTAGATGGAAAGATATGGATCTTTCTATCTGCTTCATAACCAGCTGAAGTTCACATCTGTGTGAATGGAAAATGAAACAAACTTTGGAGTTAAAGTTGATTTCAGAACTAGACCTAGCTTCTCACTAGCTTTATGATCTTGAGAAAAGTACTCTATGCGCGCTGGTTTCCTTATTTGTAAAATAGAGTAGCTCATAAAGACTAAATGTATGAAAAACACCTTTTATAATGACTAGAAAGAGCAGGTGACAATAAATGGCTCTTTGATTGTGAAAATTTGATAATTCTGAATGTTTGGACTTTTTTTTTCCTTTAATCATCCTAAGCATAACAGCCTGCCACAATGATGTGTGCTGCCACTCATCCCTGTTATCAGTCCATGAGTCCCTATTTTCTTCTCTCTCTCTCTCTTTCTCTCCCTCCTTCGCATCTGTCCTCCCTCTTTTCCTTCCTCCCTTCCTTCTCATCTCTAATTTAGGAATATTCATCATTTGGAATCTAGTCAGACTATATTTCATTTCACAGAGGAGTCCTGGTTTGTAGAAATCTTACCTTAGGTGCATTTTGTTGTGTCAGTCATTTCCAAATCATGCTTTTTACATAACTCTACCAGTGTTTGTTCCAGGAAGTATTATGAACAAGCTTTAGTATTAATGTAAATGCACTTTAATGTGGGTAGATAGGTAGGGATGTTAACAAATTTAACAAGTACAAGAGTAGGCCTTTCCTTTCACTGGAGATCGTTGAGGTAGACATATTTCATCTTTTCAATTAGCCTGGATCGATTCAGCACAATTCCAGTTTATAATCTGAGATGGAAGGTATATGCTTCTCTCAGTATTTAGCAAATTCATTTGACCATGTTGTTTTGTTTTGTTGTGTGTTTTTTTTTTTTGGTTGCTGTTAATAGTATTAGTTCCTGCCCCAACCTAGAGAAAGTAAAAGGTGATTGATTAATCAGATAATAAAGAAAATATTCCTTCACACTTCAGATATTATAGATAAACCTCCAGTTATTTTGCACAGATAATCAAACAGTGGCAGTTATATTATCTGGATTTCATCTGTGGGTTCTTATCAGATTCGTGATATGGCACTAACTGTGCCTGAAAAGCACAGTGTATGGGCACTCTTTGTATTTCTCCTACCTAACCATGGTTAAATGGACTGGGCTTCCCCCTTGTGGTTGCCATGGAAATGCAGTAATGATGGTTATTTATTGAAAGTGAATTACAATATTATGACCTGGAACACTAGTTATCCTTCTCATCATATGTAGAATTCTTATTTTTACAGGGAACATTTTAGTATTTATTTTCTTTGGGTTACTCTTACATTTTTTCAGTCAAAGCACAAAACAAAGTCATTAAATTCCAGACACAGTGTTTCTATGAGTAATGGACTTCTTGATCGCATAAGATAAATAAACCATCAGCCTTTAAGTACTTTTGATTTTTTTAGAGCACAGATACCATACTCAAATTCATTTCACATAGCATTGAAGAAAGTATGCATAATTTATATGCATATATTTTTCTTATGTCATTTTCCTTTTGATGCTCAGAATATTCATATAATAATTATTCAGTTTGGTTTTGCCTCTGTGTACATAGAAAACGACTTTTTATCAAGTTATTTTTCTTATATCCCTTTTGCTATATTGATTTTACATCCTGGATAATAAATTTAATCATGTCTCTGTTTTTGTAAAGCAAAATGCCTAGTTCTAAATTAAATTTTATGTTGTTTCTCCCTGAGGCGTGATATATTTTGGATTCGTGCTTGGATAGTGGATATTGGGAGAGGGAGAATGTAAGAGTGGATTGATGTTTTCTATGATAGAATCGGCTTCTAATTTGACGTTTTCATTAGGTATTGTTCAAGTTTCTGCTGTTTTGTTTTCATCCTTCTTGTCTTTACCCTCACTCTGAAACCTTGAGGCCAGTCAATCTTCAAACTTGTCTTTAATCACTTTACTCTCACTGTATTTCTCAGTGAC